ATTTTTTTTTTATATATACAAAAAAATTTTTTTTTTTATTAAATTTTGGGGGAAATTTAGAATCCCTTTGTGTATCAATACCTCTGTATTTCCCTCACCATACCCCCTTCTGACACATTGTTTTTCCTATGTGTCAACCTAGCATAGTAGGGCAAAAGATATTTTGATAGGCAGGGCTTGCCAAATGGCCCTTGCCACACTAAGTTAGTGCATGAAAAATCTGCTTTCTTCCATGCAGCCTTTTACTCTGGAGTTGCTCTATTGTTCGTCAAAGCAACACATTGAGCTGTGAGATAGAATCAAGGTTGTTAGTGTTAGCAACAAGGCTGTGATGAGCAATAGGTTTACTTGTGGATGTTAGGAATTTTCTATTGCCAAAAGACGGCCAAAATTATGCGCCACTCCCCACTCATGTCTCCTGAGCTGTCCACCATCGTTCCAGACATTGGTCAAAGGTATATCTTGTAACTCTAGCGTGGGAGACCAAGATTTAGTTATTACTGCAACACATTCATGCAGCTGTCCATCACCTGGAGTTGGGAAAAGAATAGCAGTGCATCTTTTAACTATGATGTTTGGCATGTCAAACGAAACAGTGCTGTATTTAAGCCACCTTGCTTTTGAAAATGTTTTTGGTCAAGCAGGATTATTGACACTACATGTGGAAGTTGAACCAGTAAAGTCAGGTCACTGTAACCTATAATGTCACATGGTGCTATCACAGCCTTTTCTGCAGCTGCCATTGCTCTAAGGCAGTGGTTCCCAATCTTTTTTCCTTGAAGCCCCCCTTGCCTGTGTCCAAGACAAGTCAGGCCCCCCAAACCCCAACCACTACCCACATACACATTCCATGGAATGGCGCCGGCGACAACGGCAGCCTGTCATTGCAGCTCCTATTATTGTTGTAGTTTTAGTGTGTTTTCAGTGTTTTTAGCCTGTGTTTTTTGTTATTTTTAACTGTTTTCTTACTTTCTTACTACTTTGTTCATGTCTTTTTTGGCGTCTTTGAGCACTTTTTATTTTTTGTTTGCGCGGGTCTCCATGGCGACGGGGAGTCGCATTGTTTTCACCCGCGACCAGATGATCGCCCTGAGGTACCCTAGCGTCCTGACTGGAGAGAGACCCTCCATACCGGAGGAGCTGAGGAGACAGCGAGGCTGCAGAGCGGGGGTTAAACGGAGGATGAAGAAGAGGAGGTTTAAACCCTACAAACGTGGTTACACAAGCAGATACCGGACTCCAACGTCACCATTACTGGCTTCCACACAGTTCGAGCCGTCAGGGCCACCACCGCGACCGGCATGAAAAAACGTTTCAAAAACGTTTTTAAAGTGCTTAACAAATAAAGTTGGATTGGACTAGATAAATAGGTAATACATACCAAAAATATGTTTCAATTTGGATTATACAGAGTTTTGATTATCCAATTGGGTGTGTTATTGGGATTTTATACATTTCTTTTTTTTTTTAATTTTACCAAAATTATTATTTACAAATTTATAAAATCCCAATAACACACCCAATGGGTTTTTCACACAGACGTGTTTACCTATGTTCCTCCCCTCTTCTTTCAATAACTAAAACGGCTCCTTTCTCCCTGTCACCGATGCCCAATTAGGCTTCTTTTACACATCACCTCTGTGCTTAACAAGATCTGCAGGGCCTCCTGAAGGAGAAGCAGCAGGGTTACCTCCGCAAGCTTTCAATTTTCACAGCATAGCTGGGCCCATGCGCGATGACACCTCTGAGTCTGCATTCGGTACAAGTAAATTACAACTAAATGGTCCACTTCTGAATCCCACCAGTGACTGCTGCTTTTTAACACACACTTATCAGTCTCTCTTTTGTGCCAATTCATGTCATTCTTTAATGTTTTCAAAAATGTGTTGCTTAAGTTCCAGAAAAGCATTTAACATTGTAACTGGTGTGTTCTCTATGGGGATTCAAGGTTAAGAAAACATAATGATGAGGTAAATTAGTCCAATAATGGATTTAAAAAATGCAATTTGAGATTTCACGCCGGATAAAAAAAACTGTGATATTTGAATGCATGTAATGAATGAATGCAGATGTAGAAAGGGACTCCAAAGTAGCAATGATTTTCTGAGTGTTTGATGGTTATCTGTTTCTACTTTAATACAGAACCCCAATAAAACTAACCTTGCAAGGCAGCTGGACTTGTATGATAACAAGAGAATCCATCTTTGCAGGCTTCTATCTATGTGTTCGTGGCCCAGCTACCGTGGTACCAGTACTGATGATGACTGGTCCAGACCAGTCATCATCAGTGATGGGAATAACGGCGTTACTTTTTTTCAGTAACGAGTAATCTAATTAATTACTCTTCCCATCTTAATAACGCCGTTACCGTTACTGCCAAAAAATGCGGCGCGTTACTATAATTGAAGTTGTTTTTTTCATCAGACCAACTAGATCTCTGAGCCGAGAGGCAAAGACTTTTTTTTACTGTTCTTCTTTGGTTAGTGGGCAGTGCACGAGACAAGCGCATAAATGCTGACGATTGGCTGAGGTTGAGTAAAATTTCATGGTAAGCCAATCAGAGGTAGAGTTGGGCGGGTGTTCGAAAGCATGCATAGACGGACACACAACGAACACCACAAGTGAGTCAGTCAACGAGAGACAGGTATGGCAAGTTGTGTTGCATCTTATTACATTTGCACTAAAAAGAGTGTTTATATTGTTTGAATACATTTTTGGTACATTGCTTAAAGAGCATAATTTAATTTAGATTTATTTGTTGGCTGGCTGCAGCCTCTTGAAGTGAGATTGTCAATGGCCAGAGAAAGAGATTTATTTTTATGGAGATGTATTTTTTATTTCTTATGTATTACCTGTTTATATTTGGATTCCTTAGTTTTGCTATACATTGTACTTTTCAGTTAGATTGAAAGCACCTCATACTGTTACATGTTCTACTTTTTCGAGGAAGAAAATACTTGAAGTACAGTATATCTACCAATTGTCTGAAGTTTTTTTGTTTTATTTGCACTACAAAGAGTGTATACATTTGTTATTTATTTTTGGTATAGTGCTTAACAAGCATAATTTAATTTTGCCCAACTGTGGCCTGTTGAGGGGCAATAAATATCAAAAGTTCCAAAACATGTATCGATCCACTATATAAACATAATATCTACATACATGGCATTTGATTGGAGGCTAGTCTCACTTTGTCCCACAGCAACATTAAAATAGTTTAGATTTGTGTACATTGTTTCTGTTAATAATGTATTGTAGTAAGTGTCCATTTCATTATAATATTCAGATTTATCATAAATAATGCACATGTATTTTGAGTTCCGTTAAAGAGGGGTGGAGGTGGGGTCACATTTGAGCATTTAAAAATTTACTTGAAAGTAACGCAATAGTTACTTTCTGAAGTAACTAGTTACTTTTATAATTTGTAACCAAGTAACTAATTTAGTTACTTTTTGGAAGAAGTAACTAGTAACTGTAAAAGTAACTTGCCCAACACTGGTCATCATACCTTTTTCACTGCATAAATTGCTTCATTGTTTCTTTGACTTGTTTGCCAGTGAAAACAAGTGCTTTGAGCCACCATCTTTTTTAGAGGTGGTACAAAACTAAAAACAAAAAAGTAGCAAGTGAGAAAATAAAAGGTGAGGAGAGGTTAAGGAATATTCTGTCATTCTTATCCAAACAGCAGGTATAATAAAAATAGAATACACAGAATCGATGTTTAATCTAACACCTGCTGTGTGGAAACTGGGCTACTGCCATGGCAAATATTAACGTACAACGTACATTAATATGAATGCAAGAAAAGTCAGGTATGACTAATTCAGCAAGTGGGAATAAGATGAATACATTTTAACACTGAGGCCTGGTTTTACATAATGTTTGCTACATCAACAATGACCAGCTGTTAATCGCTTCGGATTAAAGCATCAGCTAAATACATGTAATGCAACGTAATGAGTCGAAATATGATTTATATCTATAATCACACACTGTACGCTAGCTCAAACAGGATGAAAACAGACATTTGTGGAATCAAAATCATTCAAATCTTTCCTTTATGGGTTGATGGTTAAAAGCATCCTGACTGGCTGACTTAATCTTACTGACTGATTGCTTTCTGGTCATTTAACAATTATTAGTGTCTTCAGTTATTTACACATTCAAACCTTTATTTCAGAGTTTATTAATTCACTTGTTTATTTTACAGTGCGTTTTCATATATTTGGTGAAATTTTTTCATCCTCCAGTGTCACAGATCAATACTACATACATACAATATACTGTATATACTACAGTCATATTCATAGCAGTTTTGTCCGGGTACCATAAAACTTAAATTAATAGCCCAGGCTTTTGTTTGCTTCAATCACTGAACTCAACCTACCTATATTTTACACAGGTATCTATATGGGACAGGCATTCAGTTCTTTTTTTTTTTTTTAAACTCTTGCTCAGGGGTAGTACTATCAAATTGGTTATTTAGGGGTGTCCTGGTATACAGGTAGCCTACCTTAGAAAGGATGAAAGCCGAAGGAAAAGGGGTAAAAATCTTACGGACTAAGGAAAAAGCTTTTTGTTTACCATGCCAGTAAATCTGAATGAATTGTACCTTGGTCCTCATGGTTTCCGTAAAAAAACTCAATGATTGAATTGTGGAAAATCTAACGGAAGTGTAGCATGTCCGTTTTGACATTTAGTTTAAACTTTTCTTTGTATGCGTGATCTAAGCAGCTTAGAAACAGTTGAGGTTTTGTCGATCCAACTTCTATAAAAACCAAACCTGGTGTTTAATTGAGACCTAGTTAGTTGTCAAAATGGGTAGCCATAACCATTACTTTAGTAAAAAGGGACTTTTTACTAAAGTGTTTAATTGAAGTTTTACGGTATTTCATGTAATTGACTGCTTACCAACTAGAACAGATACAAGAGACAGACATAAATGCAGCTGTGACTCTAAAAAGCTACTTCCAATTACACATTTGAAAACCTCAAAGGGGTTTCACAAGATTCAAAACTTTATTTGTTGTTTTTAGGTGTTCCTGGAGTAGTCTCATCACCATCCACACTTGTCACACATCTAAAATTTCTGTTGTGACTTGCATTTTGTAACATTTAAACTTAAAAAGGTCATTAAAACAACTCAAATAGTACAAACCACAAACATACAGGGTTAACTTAAACATGCAGTGGGTTAGACAAATTACACATCATAATAATCCACAGATCTTGCCATCAACAATTTATTTGGCAGTGAATCATTTTCAACAAAAAAACACTTAACTTAAATTAACTTAACTTACAACTAGAGATGGCCAGAAGATGTTGAGGCTCAGAAGCTTGTTTCACTCCTGTGAAGAAGCCTGTGAACTGTCACAACTTGTGTCATATGAATAGTACCGCATGATTGACTACATCCAAAGCGTTTAAAATTTTGCAACTAACATGTGATAGGCACCATAGAATTAAAAGAGAGAATATACAGAACATTTACACCTGATAATCAAGTAATAATATTTGCTTGCTGGACAAAAATTGTTCAGCTCCATTCTTGAAGGGCAGCTGTAAGTTCAACAAAGTACCAGATGTCACTGTGCTGCAGCACAAATATGAAGAATGCTTCAATAAGATATCATCCGCCCGTCACTACCTAGAATTTCACATGTCATTTTTACTGGACATCAGCCTCATTATCTATACATTGGAAGGCCAAGGATGAGCAGGAACAATGGAAGTTTCTAATTGTGATTAATGAGATGAAGCAGACATTTCTGGATTGATGAAAAACGTGAAGCATGTGACAAGGTTAAAGATCTGTTATTAGCATACACTTTTACAAAAATAACTGCATAGAATCAGTATTGTAAATGCTGTGGCTAAATCTAACGCACCTTACTACAACTACACTGATCCAGAAGACCATGACATGAGAATACGCTTTCCAGTGCTGTACATTGTTTCAATCTGGCAGACAGCAAAGTAAGACATTTTCCAGTTTCCAAAGAGGCTTTAATTTGTTGCTGGTACATAATCATTAACGTTCCATTTTTTGGCATATTTTCCCATTTGAATATTAAAGACTAAAACAACGGAGAATTAAATAATAACAACTAAACATACCTCACACAAATCTATTAAATAAGAATATTCTTAACATCTAAAATAAACTTAGAATTAACTAAAAAGCAAAGCTATATTCCTCCAGATTGAATCTTATCACAAAGGACAGTTCTTGTTGTTTTAATGAATCTATAGTATCCTGATAGGGTTGTGTTCTCAAATGATGGACACAAATTAATGGATTGAAACTGCTATGAGTAGTTGATAAAAGGCAAAGAACCTCAGCCTTAACAGGAAGACTGGGGCTCAGTCCTACACTGGCTGGTCCTTACACACAAGTCCTGACTTTGGAATCATTATGTAAGAGCCTTAATGGTATCATAATAGTAATCCGAGTCCTTTTGAGTAATCAATATTAACAAATTTTGGTAACAAATGTTAACATTAGATGTGATTAATACTGGCAAACAAACTTAGCAGTTAATGGTAAGAAAAAAAGAAGAAAAAACAAAACACAAGATAAAATGGCTTAACTCACTTTGTAAGTGTCATTCAATAACTTTGTGCTATTTCATTATTTTTTCAGCTCTAGTGATGGTGATATAATCTATATTTGACTTAATGTGTGAAGTTCCTATGGAAAGACCATATTAAAAACATCACTGACACACCGTTACACTGGGTGACATGTTCTTTCATTACCATGAACATACACACTGATTTATTTTGTTGGTTCTTGATTGTCACTTTTGGGTTTTGTTGGGGAGCAGCTCAATTGTATTTCTTTATTAGATACAGTCAGACTGTCTTCCTCTGCTTCAACACAGCGATGGTTCTTTAAGGACTGTGATCGAGTAAATAGTCTCTTACACTGTGAACACCAGTATGGTTTCTCTCCGGTGTGGACACGCAGATGTCGGCTGTAACTGTATGAACTATTGAAACACTTGCCACATTGGTCACAGCTGTATGGTTGCTCTCCAGTGTGGATACGAAGATGGCGCATATAGTTGCTTAGTCGACCGAAACCTTTCCCACACTCTTTACACTGGTGCGGTTTCTCTCCAGTGTGGGTATGTAAGTGTTGTTTATACGTTTTTGAAATGGAGAAACTTTTGTCACATAGCTCACAGCGGAATGGTTTTTCTCCGGTGTGGATACGCATGTGTGATTTGTAATTACCCAACTGTGAGAAACTCCTTCCACACTGGTCACAGCAATATGGTTTCTCTCCTGTGTGGACACGCATGTGTATCTTATAACTACTTAAGTCACTGAAAGTCTTTTCACATTGGTCACACTCATATGGTTTCTCTCCAGTGTGGTTACGCAGATGCAGACTGAAATGCCCTGACTGAGTAAAACTCTTTCCACAAAAATCACACTGGTACGGTTTCTCTCCACTGTGGCTAAGCTGGTGTCGCTTGTATGAACTTAAAAAACTGAAACGCTTTGGACACTGGTCACAGCTGTATGGTTTCTCTCCCGTGTGGACACGCATATGTATCTTGTAAATACTTAAGTAACTGAAAGTCTTTTCACACTGGTCACACTGGTATGGTCCAGTGTGGTCAGTCATGTGTTTTCTAAATGAACTTTGGCTGCCGAAATTCCTCCCGCACTGGTCACAGCAGTATGGTGTTTCTTCAGCATGGGTACACAGGTGTAGCTTGTATGCATGTAGTTGGTTGAAACTGCTGCCACATTGTTCACAGTAGTACAGTTTCTCTGCAGTGTGAGTGAGTTCATGTCTTCTTAGACTACAGATCCGACTGAAAGACTTCCCACACATTGGACACTGATGAGGTATGCTCTTGTCGGTCTGTTTCAACTGAGAAAGAAATGGAAGACTTTATGAAATACTGTCAGTCACACACACACACACACACACACACACACACACACACACACACACACACACACACACACACACACACACACACACACACACACACACACACACACACACACACACACACACACACACACACACACACACACACACACACACACACACACACACACACACACACACACACGAATAAAAAGCAACAATGACCAACAATATACATGTTTATATAAGTAAAGTGTTAATGTAATTCTTAAACAAATATATATTCCCTGTTACAAGGTAATGTCATTTGTTGCCACAGTCTATACGAAGCCATACATTAATGGATATGTACATATATAAATTATACACCAAAATACAACTATATGAAAAGACATCCACATTTATAGATATCTTACAACCTTTTTTGTGTTTGTAAACAGTGATGACATATTTTGTGGGCAACGTCTTTCTGGTGGCAGAAAGAGATCTACATTTGCTGCAGTCTTTACTGCAGTGCTTGCACGATCATAGGCACTAGCCACAAAAGTGACATGACATACACAAGACTGAATGCTGAAATGAACATTGAATGCTGTAAAATAAATAAATCATATTTACAGTGCTTTACTCTAAAGCTTACTCTCTGTTCCTATGCTACCAGGTCGCTTCTGCCCTGTCGCAGCGCATCAGCCCAGCCTGGCAGAGATTTGCATCTCCATTACAACAGGGCTACTCACTTGAAGGTGTACCTTTGCAGGCATAGAGAGCCACAATGGTTGAGAAAGCTCAAGGTTGAATGACAAGAGTGGCCGTCATTTTTTATTTGCTAATTGTTTCACAGAGGTCCTGTCGGGCTACCTGTGGTTCCTATAGTTTCCAAAAGTATAATGGACCCAGAGCTTTCAGCTACCAAGCTCCTCCCCTATGGAACCAGCTGCCAGTTCCTTTAAGAGCAGGCTTAATACATTCCTCTTTGATAAATATTATAGTTAGTTAGGCCTAGGCTGCGTTTCATTAGTAGTTCCACTTCCCCTCGTTCACTTACCCTCAGCCCTTGGTATGACGTAACAGCATACGTCGCACGGAGGCCACTTGGAGCGCGAAGGGAAAGTGGGCGGGGGAGGAGCGGGGGATTTAAATGAAACGCACTTGCCCTTGGAGTCTACTCATTGGCAGCCGTCGGCGTTATAGCGGCAATGACGTAAACTGCAATGCATTGTGGGTGATATCCACCTCGGAGTGACCATCGTTGTTCACTCGCTCCCTCAGCCCTCCGAGGGTCCATCTGATCAAGTGAACTTCAGTTTTCCAGACAATTGGAACGACACTTATGATGGCGGCGGGGATTCCCCCGAGGGCAAGTGCCGAGGGCAAGTGAACGAGGGCGTGTTGAACGACTAATTAAACGCAGCCCTAGACTGGCAAGGGACTTCCCATGATGCACTGAGCTCCTCTCTTACTCTCCCTCTCTTTCTGCACACATTCATGTCCCATTAATGCATCTATCTACCTTAGCTTCTTCCCCAGAGTTTTTTGCTTTATCATCGCCAAGGTTCCCACCTAGATCGTCAAATGACTCGGCGGCTGCTGCCGTGGTCCTGCCAACGTAACACTGATGTGACAAATTAGTAGCTTGATTGCTTGAGTAATGTTTAGGCCAGCTAGCCAGCGAGTTCAATGTTACGTTCGTAACATCTATGTGCTAAACAGCTACTACATTCATAGTTGGCTGGCCACAAGCCCGTCAGCCCCTGCTGCTGTTGAAGTCTGAGAGGATTTGTATTTGACAATGATGGATCATATGTACATGTTAAAGCACAGTGTGCATTTTTAACTGTAAATGTATCTCTCAAATCATTAGCATCAATAAATCTGATGTATGTTTTCAATAAAACAGTATTTGTTACGGTAAGTTGCATCATCCATCCAGCAAAGAGCAAAGTAGTTGTCTCATTGAACTGTCATTAAGAGATTTACTTTTGTGCTGTTCCACACTGTTTGCAATTATGGGCCTTGATTTGTGGCTTTTCAAACCAACTCAGTATGTTAAATCACAGCAGAGGCTGTTGGTGAAAAAAATCACACTGAATGCCACTCAGCTTAATCGAATCAGGGCACGAGAAGCGGTAGTGAGCAAAGCCGCAAACAACTTTGTCAGGGGATCTCAATTTTCAAATTCATCTCATCTGATCACTCAAATACAGAGATATTTTAACAACAAGCAGCTTTTTTACACAACCATTTGAGTCAGAGTGGGCAAACCTACATCCATAGGAGTGCTTTTGTTTATACCCGCACTCCTAGGGCTTCTGGTGTTCTTTTTTGAATGATGAATGCATCACAGACTCTGTCTCTCTGGGTAAGGTATGGTGACATCCCTACTCTGACTGTTGTTAGACTGTTTGAATTAGGGCTGTACAACTGTACATTATACTAAATGTACCATGTGAAAGCAGCGGAAAATGCAGCATTTCTGCACAAATAAACAAATGGATGATATTGTGTAAACAAAAATCCCCATGCACTTCCAACAACAGTCGGGTGCTGGTAGGTCGCAGGAGTAAGCAATCAGAATTGACCACCACATACTAGAATAACTTCACTGTGATTTTATTTGAGAGCGAGCAATGTGTTTTGCTTGCAGCTTACTCAGGTTTGCTAAGCAAAATTGCATGAGCACTCACAGGTGTGCCAAATAGGCCGCATCTGAGTCACATGATCAGTCATGTGCCAACACATATTTTACAAATGTGAGTGCATAAAAACATGATATACAAAAATATAGAGAGCAGAGCAGCATGATTAATCTAACAGATCCACACAAATTACACATTACATACAAGAATGTACAGCTGGAATATCCTGTAGGTTCTACCACTGTCCCTCTACACCACTAAATGTGGTTCTGTTTGTGATGGTTGATATGGTGGCAATTCATAAAATACTGGCTGTTAATGTGATAATGTAATTCTACTTGATCTTACCTTTTCTGAGGAACTCATGACGTGGCTTATCAGTGGAAGTTAATGTACTTCAAATGCTTTTCTTCCCATCAGCACATTTCAACTCTGAAAACATCAAATAAAGACACAGAAGATACAGACTAGTCAGGGGGAAAAAAAATCACCCACTAAAACAACAATAATACTGTATCAGGAAGTGATTGGAGGTACCTTGGCAAAGTTTAGTACTGATCATTACAGCTGACCCCAACATAGAAAATATACACTCAGCTGTCAGTTTATAAGGTAAACCTAGATAAAACTAATGCAGTCTAATTAGAGTTGGGTATTGTTTGGTTTATTTCTAATACCGGGGCTAAAATAATACTTTTAAAGCTGTACTGATGCCAGTGCCCGAACCAATAGATGTTGGGTTTTTTTGTTTAAAAGAAGCACAAAATGACTATCAGGGATATTAAAAGAATGCTTTTATTATTGCTAAGGCAAATTTGAACTTCAAATTGAACAATATATTAACAGTTTTCAAGTATATTTAAATATATTAACAAATACAAAACACTAAAATTTGGGCGGGTGTGGCGCAGAGCGGGTCGTCCCTTAATCGGAAGGTTGTGGGTTCAATCCCCGGCTCCTGGTGCCACATGTTGAAGTATCCTTGAGCAAGATACTGAACCCCGAATTGCTCCCGATGCTGTGCATCGTGTGTGAGTGTATGAATGGATTAGTTTCTGTTCGATGGGCTTTCGAATGTGTGTGAAAGGGTGAATGTGGCATGTAGTGTAAAAGCGCTTTGAGTGGTCGGAAAACTAGAAAGGCGCCATACAAGTACAGGTCCATTTACCATTTAAATTTGTATTGTAAACAAATTCACATAAAATTAAAGCTGCAAACAGTGTTGGGCGGGACCTTGCCCTCCACGCAACTCGAGCGCCACGCTACGTCACCCCATGCCCAAGCCTTCATCGCCGGAAGCTGAGGGAGACCGCTCTACATTGTCACACGTTTCAGACCCTGCACAAGACTTACGCTTTCATTCTTCACTGCGAAAGGTGGAAATCCACCACGCCACGGACACAGTTTGACACACAGTAAATATTTGATTAACTTATGATCACCAATGTGTCTAGAGTGATCGAATTTGAAAACCACTGTAAACTGCTGGAAATGGCATCAGTTTGACATTCAATCCAACTTTATTTGTTAAGCACTTTAAAACAACCAAAGTTGACCAAATTGATCCTGGCTAACTTTGATGTCATGCTACAGACACGCCCTTCAACGTAGAGTCACAAATTGAATAGCGTTCATTCAGCACCATTTTTTGACTGTACTGACCAATTTTGAAGTAGATCCAATAAAACCTGTAGGAGGAGTAAATTAAAATAGCCCTGAAATGCCAAAAATGACATCACAGTTTGACATTCGATTCAAAATGGCCGACTTTGACGACACACCACAGACACGGCCTTTAATGTACAGTCACAAAATGAACAGCGTTCATTCAGCAATATTTTTTGACTGTACTGACCAATTTTGAAGCAGATCCGATAAATTTCCTAGAAGGAGTTCGTTCAAATACAAGGCGAAAATTCACCGAAAATGACCACGGACTTCAAAATGGCCAACTTTGACGACACGCCACGGACAAGCCCTTCAACGTACAGTCACAAAATGAACAGCGTTCATTCAGCAATTTTTTTTGACTGTACTGACCAATTTTGAAGCAGATCCGATAAATTTCCTAGAAGGAGTTCGTTCAAATACAAGGCGAAAATTCACCAAAAATGACCACGGACTTCAAAATGGCCAACTTTGACGACACGCCACGGACAAGCCCTCCAACGTACAGTCACAACTTGAACAGCTTTCATTCAGCACCATTTTTTGACTATACTGCCCAATTTTGAAGCAGATCCGATAAATTCCATAGGAGGAGTTTGTTCAAATACAAGCCCAAAAAGTGAAAATGACCACAAAATGGACGCCTTGAGTGAAAATTAAAAATTAAAATAGCTGACTTCCTGTGGGATTTGGGACATGGGTCCAAGAGGCTTTTTTGTACTTCTCGGCACGTGCCTACCGAGTTTCATACATATCGGTGAAACATGGCGCCGGGGCTGCTTTTTTAAAATCCTGTAGGGGGTGCTACAAACACGATTTTTGGTATGTGAGCTACAGGCAACAGTCTACACGTGTCCTGTGAATTTCATATTCATAACTATTACGGTCTCTGCAGAGTGATTTACCCTGCCACCAGAGCGCCACATAGTGGCGTGATTTTTTTTTCCTTTTATGGTGAGCCTCAGGGAGCCATGGGCAATCATCCTATCAAGTTTTATTTTAATCACACTTGGCGTTGCGGAGATATAAACTTCTTCATTTTAAAGAGCGCCACCTTGTGGTGATGACCTGAAATTGTGTACGATGCATAATGAAGACATAATAAACTATTGATGCAAGTTTGGTGTCAATCGGACATACCAATGTGGAGAAATGCCCAACTTCCTTTTTGACGAAAAATCAACAGGAAGTGCTAATTTAATAACGTACTTATTTTTTGAAATATCAAAATACTTTAAATTACTTTTTGTCAGGACGGTCTCCAGATGCTACGTGCAAAGTTTCGTGCGAATCAGACAAAAGTGCATAGATGGAACACGAAAACGTAGTTTTTGGACATTCCGCGCTCTAGCAGGGAATGTGAGACAAACGATGCGGGAATTAGCCTATCAAAATTTGCCTAAAAGTAGCGCCACCTAGTGGCCTTTCTAGTGGCTGACCTGAATGTGACGCATAGAATATCCGATATCGCACCAGGCCCGACAAATTTGCCAAATAAAATTCACGCCAAGTTTACGTTCAGGGGGTCAAAAATGCAGTCAAAAGGGCTATGAAGAATAATAAAAAACGGACCAAAAACAATAGGGACCTTCCAGCGGTCGCTGGCTCAGTCCCTAAAAATAAACCAGAGGCAACTATAATGACTTAACACTAAGTAACAGTTACAGGCCTCATAAGAGCAAAATTCATTTTAGTTGATATTATACCGATTCCAGCTTCAAACTTCAGCAATTCTTTTGCAGAGATACAGTAGTATTTAATAATAACAATATTTTCTATCAAGGAAAGGATACTCTCGTCATTACCAATGACCTCTAAATGGCAAGTCATTATGACATGTCACATTTACTATTTATATCTATGCACCCCATTACCAGGGCCTGGGATATCCACACCGACAGCTTAGATCAGGTCGTCAACAAATCGGAAGGTTGGCAGTTCCCAGCTCCTTGCTGCATATCCTTGAGCTAGATACTGAACCCCAAATTGCTTTTGTTCTTCGATGTCCTGTAGAAGTGAAATACTGCCGCATTTTAGACCATTTAGCCTGGTATTTTAACCGTGTTTAAGGTAGCTACTGGCTAGTGTGCAATGTTAACTAGTGATGACATGTGCTGTCTTGCCTGTAACGTCCACACCAGAGAGCAAATATTTCAAGACAGATCTCGTACCAAACAGAAGCTGCTGACATCCGCAGTGTGATTTGAGCAGGACGGTAGACACTGGCACAGTGTTTTGGTAGCCAACCTAGGAAAAGCGCAACAAATGTTAAGAAATAAGGATTTAAAATGTGTTTTTTTGTTGAAATTGTTTCAGGGAGGTGTTGATTAACTGTATAGTAATTTGGATGTTATATCATTACTCATTAAAAATAAATTGAAGTTATCCTTAAAAATGTTTAGTTACTAAGTGTAGTAGTCCCACAATGAAATGGAGAATTTTACCAGTGTTCATCAAAACGCTGATACAATACAGCATCCACTATACATCCTAAACCTCCCTCCACACACCAGATCTCTCCAGCAACACTAGAGGGCCCATCACACACTGAGTAGAGTAAATGTCAGACTGGCTTTTAGTCGTTGGCAAGAGCTTTGTGAAATAAAAGGCTGCAGACAAATGCAAAGACTTCTTTCTGTTGAACTATAAAGTATTAGCTGGCTTGCTGTGTTGTCAACCTGCTTGGTGTTTGGCTGTGTTACACCTCTTTCACATAGACCGCCTGAGCAGTGCATAGACTCGCCGGTGGGTGATGCTTGACAGGTGCGTAGAGTTCACACCATTGACAGTATGGTTCACACTGAGAGCATGTCAGTTGCATGACTGCTGGTGCTAGCCCTGTTTCCCAATACACTTTTCCCTGTAAGTCCATGAAAGATCAAAATTTGTATATCATTTAATTTACAAGGCCATATAGTTTAAATCTAAATGTGAAGAGTGGTAACCAGAAAGCACGTGTGGTTTGTTTACCCCAGAGAGAGAGAGGCAGTGGAAAGATACTGCAGCTCACTTCCAGAAATTCTTTCAAAAGTGAAGTAGAGTTAAACAAAATATTACTTCAGTGCTTTTACTTTGAAAAGGGTGTTTAAACTATACTGAAATAGTGTATATGACTACCTATCTATTCTCTTTTCCTTGCGGTAAAAATAGGCGAGGCCTCGATAGTGAAGCATCGCTGCAGATGCGCGAGACACACCGCTTTTATCGGTTAACAAGGGCCCCGAAATAAAAGGCAAGACGTTACGCAACGCGGGCGGTGTGACAAGGATTTTCAAACCCTTTCAAGGGAAAAGCACTGTAGTAATCTTATCTTTATTTATAAATAATCTGTTATTTAACACAGAATTTCTGGAAGTGAACAGGTTGAAGTGCACTAGCTTTCCAATGATCCAGTTGTCAACTGGCTAGTTTTTGATCACAAGGAATGTAAATCATAACAAAGTACAACTCTCAATGTTAATGACAGTGGTATTGCACCCAGGGGCGCCAAATTGCACAAATGCTAAATCTTACATAATGTTGCTTTAATATCTGGCTGGTTTTTGTAGTTGTGGTTGCTTATTTGTCTCGCGAGAGTATGCTTCACTCGTGCCCACTAATGAACGAATCTTACCTCATCAGATAGAACTGTCGAGTCGTTACACTCCATTTCTATCTTCAGTGGAGTGGGCGAATTAAAAAAAACTGGACCCAGGCAATAACACAACTTTCCAATATATTGTTCACATTAACAATTGTTTGTCAACGTTATTCGAACATAACACAAAGCGAACAGGCTAAATCATAAGTATATCCACGTAACGTTATCCCGCTTCGTTACGACAAACAACAACCAGGTTCAACTAGCGTAACTTACATAACGGCCTAGCATCACACATCCACACTAACAAGCTAACACAACTTAGCGTCAACGGGCCAGAAAAAAACAACTACGTTCATATGGTTGGACTGCTTGCAGGTTGAAACACAGTGTGCTATCAATAATAACTAACGCAGCTACAGACAACCCAAGGTAACAGAAGAGAACATTTACATTTTGCTCTCTCACCGTCTCTCTTATGTTACTATTGCCACGCAAATACCGCCATCTTGGAGAATGAAGAGCACTGTGGGTGCTTCTTCTTCTTCTTCTTCTTCTTCTTCTTCTTCTTCTTCTTCTTCTTCTTCTTCTTCTTGTAGGACACTACTGCCTTCTGTAGGACAAACGCGCCCAGCCGCAGACCAACTGTCGCGCGACAACGTACAACGGGAGCGATACACCACGCGCAAGGTCGCGGCACTAGTTGCAGTCTTCTCCTGAACAGAGGTGTCGCTAGTGAGGAAAGGCTACCGACTTTGCTATTTCTACGCACTAGAAGAAGAAGAAAAAGTTTTCTATTTTTTTTCCCCAAATCGGTCGCGGGGGTTCTTCCAAATTTTCCAGCATATGTCCTCCTCTTTTCCAACATTCATGGCGATTCGCATGAATTCGGCACCGCATCGTGTTCCTTCATTGAAGGATCGTACAGATCGTCCATCTTCCTGTTTCCGGTTTGTCGCGCGCGCGAAAAAAAGTGTAGGTGACCGTGCCAAAATCCTGGCGCGCCAGCGAGAACTACGTCATTTTGACGTCACGTTGTCGCGCGACAGGTCGACTGCGGCGAGTATACCGGGCGCTTAACTGACGCCATCACACACAGATTTTCGTATATAATGCTGAATCATACAGGAAGTGTAAAACTGCTTTTGTGATCAGCTGGTGATTCTCGTTTCGGCAAAAGAAAAATTTTATAGAAAATGACTAATCCATACACTTCATTGATAAACCACAGAGTAGCTTAATGAGCCCACACATGTACCTGTTCTCAGATGTAGGTACCTGCTGCTATCGTCTGTCATTGTCTAGAGATCAGTGGGGAAACGTTCAGCCTCACGTTATTACGTCACCCACATGAGCACGACTTTAAGACTGCTATCAGTGGACAGTTCACATTATTTTTTGCAAGAAAAACTAGTTAAATTGTGAAGTTACTGTATGTAATTATTTTCAAATATCTTCAGACAGAGGAGGTGTTTTTAAACAACAAAACCTTGTAAAACGTCAATGGTGAGTATATATAGCTATAGCTTATATATTTGATAAGGGGTCGATTTTGAAACTGTCGGCTGTTTCATGCTTTGTCACTCTGGTCTGTTAAACAGCATATTTGCTACTGGTGCGTTTTGACTCTTAAACTGTTCTGGTCTGGGTAGACTAAATACCGTTTTAGGATGTGGTGGTCAAAGCGATGTTTTTTTAAATTATTATTATTTTGTTACTCGCTATAAATGTGTTATTAAACATTTATAGTTACGTGGTTCATATCCGCTGTCTACCAGCCAAAGCTTATAGACTTACCCTAAACCTGTGTTGGCAAATTAGTCTATATTTGTCAGTCCAGTAAGTAGCACAGCGGATTGAAAACTCATTTTGATCTGCTCTCATTTACACTGTTAAAGACACTTTCTGTATCCATTTTAAATTAATTTTAATTGACAGTATATGTAATGGACACAGCTTCTGGGTCGGTAAAGTAAAGCCAACGCAGACATAAAACCTGCATTTTACGTAAAGGCCAGCAGTCAATGCATGTTTACTGCAGTTAATGGAGCTCCCCATTGACTGCAATAAAAAAAAAAAAAATTATACCATGTGCTGTAGTGGAGAAATGAGCCGACTTCTCACTTGATTTATTAGCTCAGTAAAAAGTTTCCCAACAAGTTTATCTCTTAAAAATTGTCTTTTTCGGTAAGTGCGCCTCATGTCACGGAAGCCATTGCTGTAATTACATGGTTCAGTCACTATGTCAGATTTCCTTCAATGAGCTGTTCCTGGTGGCTTGCTTCGGAGCAGCTGAGTCACATGCAACACCAAGTGGTAAAATTGGGTATTACTGGTCTGGTCTGGTCTTTTGCTTAAAACAACTCCATCCAAGATTTGGTATTTGATGTGATTTGGCGCCCCCAGTTGCAATACCACTGTGGTAAACATGGACAGCCTTAAAGGAATACTATGCAGTTTTCCGGTTTTGTCAAACAGCTACCCCTAGAGTCGCTGCGGAGTACTTGTATTTAATGGTAACTGTCGTAAATACCACTCACCAGAGCCGTCTCTATATACGGCTCTGCGTCTCTGCACTCACTGCCTGATCCCCTCCCCCCTTTATACCGGTACATGTTCAGTAGGATGGAAGCGTCGGACATCGAACAGGTAAAGATAGACTCCAAAGATGTCTACTGACCAGGTAACGTCTTCCATTGAGGCTGCTTCCTATGTTGCTGATGTATGTCACATGGCACCGTAAAGCAATTTGTGATTCTCGCGAGATTAGGCGGGGCGCCATCTTCAGACTTGCATTGCTGGTTCTGCCAGCGGCGTCCCCCCCCAGCGTTGCTATCGGTATGATTAGCTATACTACGAGTTTGTTTACCATCGAAATGACTTTGAAGCTGTTATATTAAGGTACAAATTTTGCATAGTATGCCTTTAAGTTTGTTATGTTTACATTACTTATAATCATAAGCTAACAACTTTCAACAACTTTGCTAATCTCAAAATTCCACCAGGCTCAGGTTAAGGACGTGTCTGGTGATCTACGCATTTTCAAATCCCACCAAAAGCATTTTTAGAAGCAGAGAACAATATGTTCACCTTAGTAACAATTGCCCAGAAGTCCTGGTTGATATTAGATAACAATAAATTAGATTTTGACTGAGGCTGTCACTGTGATTGGCATTCAAATGAGGAATGGCTGTATATACCTTCATTCTCTCTCCTTCTTTAATCTGACTATTTGGGGGCAAAGATATAAAGTAATCTTGTTTTATGCTAATATGTCAAACATTAATGAAGAAATATCAGTACTTGTGTTTAAGAAGCTTTGTCAATTATAGTGCTGTGCTACTTCCCCCTAGGCAGCCAGAGAGGAACTTGGAATAGGATGCAAGAGCAGTGCAGATAAAGGAACACACGCAGAACAGGACAGGACGGCAGAGAGGGAGAGAGAAAGAGAGAGGACATACAGTCAGGCTCTAGCCAGAACAACATCTCTGTGACTAACCGCTGAATCCCTGTAATGCAGGAGAACTGATGATCCAACGCACCAGAGGTAATAATCAGAGATATATGCATGTCTCTTTCTGCCTCTTACTGTTTTCTGCAGTTGCAGTTGTAGAGCACAGCATGTTTGTGGCGTGTGTGTGTGTGTGTGTGAGAGAGAGAGAGAGAGAGAGAGAGAGAGAGAGAGAGAGAGAGAGCTAAACAGAGGGAGTAATAGATCTTGTTACCTCAGACTGCAGAACAGTGTAATAAGCCTAGGGTTTTGCGGCTGTCCTGTCCTTGTGTCGATGTGTGTGTTTGAGAGGGCCTGTTTTGTACCTGTGTGGAATACATTACATTTACATGAGTTGTTACAGTTTTCCTGCTATCAGATAGAGAACAGTGTCTCTGTTCATGTTAACAGCTTCAGCGAGCTGTGTCATCGCATCTTGACAGCGTAGTCTAACGCCGCAGTACCACCACCCCCTCCACTCCCCTAACCCAAGCACACACTCTATAGTCCCCTCTGTCACTTTCCCTCGCTGTATCCTACTAGTTTCACTCACTGTGATTCTGCAAGCTGGGCTAAATGGACTGGACAAGCTCCTCTTGGCTTGGCTTGGCTCTGGGTTTTTTTCCATAGACAGAAAGCCTTATTTAAAGTCTGATTGACATTAAATGTAAGAATGAAAATTAACTATCCAGCCTGGGAACATAACCTTACTCATGATTAGGGTTGGGTATTATTTGAATTCTGTCGATTCCCACTCATACTCTGCCTATCAATTCCGGTTCTTATTGACTCCCAGTTTTAATGGTACTTCATCATTTGACTGGTGGGCAATGTCAATTCCACGGTCTTTGCCAATTTAATTAGCATCAAATAAAAATAACGTATTGTAACAATTATGTTATATAGAAAACAAATAAAGAAATAGGAGCTGATGAGTGTCCTTTCAGTCTGCCTCCATTACAGTGGACAAACCTAACATATACAACTACCTTATTAATTTAGATATCTGTCAATTTAATATGCTGTTTTGGTCGTTACTGTAAACCAATCTGCGAAGCAGAATCGCTGTCTCTATTTTGATAGCCAATTGTGTTTAACAAGGGACCTTTTACTATGAGCTAAGAGAACACATGTCATTTACTCTGTAACATCATTACCTAACTTGTGATGACGTGTTTGTCACAGATGTACACACATTGACTATCCAGAGGGTTGTTTCACAAAATCCAGATAACGGATTAAGACAGGATTTTCCAGTTATCCTGGCTGAATTTAGCAGTCGCTAGGTTTCATAAAAACAGCAGCACATAAGTTACCATGAAGATTTATTCTTTGTAGCTAGCCTGCTCAAGACAAGGCTGAGAGCTAGGCCTGATTAATCCTGTTGTCTTATCTGTTCAGTCGGCTGTCACTCCGATTGGAAACCAATGTGGTTTTACATGTATTTCTTCTGAGTAACGTAATAAACCTCGACTGCTCACTTTTAAGGCAGAGTATACAACTATTCATTTGTGCAAAGGACAGTCAACTCCTTGAATGGTATAATTATGACGGTTTCAGTTCAGAGTAGTGGTTTTCCTTTTTTACATAATATAAGCTTTACATAGTTAGGTTTGATAAGTCTCCATTTCAGGATCAGTAAATCTGTGATTGACTTAGTGGTCTATATCAGAAAAACTGGCTTTTTGCCATTATTGGAAAGGACAGCTGGAGATTCAGCTCTACCAGGAGAGCTATATGGTGCCCCAGTGAACGTGCATTTATCCAAATTGCTTAAATTTGGCTTCATTTAGCTGCACCTTCTCAGCCTGGTTTAGCCTTTGTGAAATGATTATTAAGGCAGGATGCACTGACTTGGCTAGTTCAAGTTATCCTGGATTTTTAAATTCGGCTTTTGTGAAGCCCCACTGTTTACCATTTTAATTCACTCTATGGATGCCTCAGATTTCTTTGTTACTGTCATTTACTCTTTGGGAAGTGAAGAAAAGGTTTACCTTACTTTTATGGCTCAGTGATGTATTCCTGCTCTCAAATGTTTAGGTGCTTATTATTATCTTACATTTTGTGTAGTGCTCTCTGTACACTTTCACTTGTTCTGTTTTCACCAGAAATATACCAGAATAAGTTTATAACATAAATCACAGTCTGATGGGAGTTCAATTCTCATTAAACTACGAGGGACACAGCAAATAAGCAAACTCACGCTTCCCAGTGTCTGTCATCATGCTGGACATCAACAGTTGGGTGAGAGTTCTCCTACAAATATACTGGTAACCAGAGACATTCAGAAATCTAACTAGTTAATGCATCACACACTCAGGTTGCCTACTAGCCCAACTTTCTTAAAGGGGAAGGATGCTGGTAACATCGATATACAGTAGGCTAGCAGTAACACATAGGTGCAGATAGGCTGTGGGTGTGCTAACCAGAGGTGGAGAAGGTATTCAGGTCCAAATATATGTAAGTATTATAACAAAATGTTACTGCGGCATTAAACTTTTTACTGGTCTATTAACGTTGAGGCATTTCTTATATACATTATTCTGTCGAATTTAAAAAAGGGCGGCCCATCCCCCTTGAGTTTCTAATTTTCTTTTAAAGGAGAACAAAGAACATATGATTTACAGAGCAGATACTGTATGTATGCTCTAGAAAAAAAGTAATTAAAATGTCTTGTATGTCCCAGTTAAAAAAGAATGGTTCTGGAATGAGTCCAAGTAAGAGTCACTCTCCTATAAATCTATTGCTGCCAAAATATCATCCAGTGTGCCAGCAAACTAAAGTTCCTGTAAGGCAGAACAAGACTTTTCTGTTAAGAAACTTCTCAGTCAGTAGTTTGACAGCTACATTTAGGAACAATCTGCAGATAATGCAAAACAATATTATTTGGTATTTGTTAAATGCACCCCCTCAACTGCACATTGGTGGTGATGGATTCAGAAATGTAGAACTGATGTTATCATGATTTATTTTATATTTCTTGATTTGTTATGTTTTGTTTGGATTTCAGCACTGTGTTGCTAAAGCAAATATGTAACTTTTCTACCTTAAAATAACAGCTTCAAAATCATTTTGAGTTGTAATAGGGTGAATGATGCCTCTGTCATTCCAAGTCTGTACCCTCTATGTCTGTTCTGTCGCTACAAGTGAATAACCCTTTACGAAAGTAGTCACATATCACCCACTATGTCACCAATTTTGGGGAAATTAGATCATATTTTATTGTGAAAATGTTTTTAGGTTTGTCCTCCGACTTATTTACAGAGATTCCTGAAGTAAAGAAACTGCTGCCAAATGTAGCTGCTGTTATGGCTAATGTTAATTTCCTTATCCATACTGCCCAGGACTGCTGCTTAGAACACTGGGGGATTGCCAGTATTTACACTGGCAACACCAGTTTTCAGGCCTCAGACACGGGGAGGAATGCTGACGGAGAGCAGTGTTGTGCCAGAACCAGAGTGGGGTGAGCAGTCAATGTAGCTTCTTTTGACCTGGCTAATGGCAGAGGCAAAGAGACCAGAGAGGTCGACGGAGGAAACTAAATAGAGAAAAGGAGAGTGAAGCCACCGGACAATACCAGATCTCTGACTGGCTTTTAGTCAATGGTGAGAGCTTGGTGAAATAAAGGGCTGTAGACACACAGCGAGCTGGCCTTCTTGCACTTGGACTATATAAGTTTTATTAGCTGGCTTGCTGTGTCTTGGGTTGTTGCATTTGCGCGATGTTTGACTGTGTTAGAAAGGTTGTCGACTTGCTAGTTTTTGATCATAAGTACTGTAATAATAATAAATGTACAGTGGTCCATATTTACGACGTATTGCAGCTGGGGGCGCTGAATCGACAATACCAAATCTTACATAGCGTTGCATTACGTTTTTCATGTTGAATACCTTGTGCTTTTGCGTTTTCTTTTGACAGGAAGTCCTCTTCCTGATATGCTTGCATGACATGATTGGTCCCAATCAATGTGTTAGGTCTAAGACCTTTATGCTGAATGAACATTTCTTATAATTAAATGTGTTTAGTTATGGTAACAGTTACCTGTCATTATTTGTGCGTATGAGTTTTGGTAACAGCTGGTTGTGACAGTATGTGCTCAGATTCAACCAGTCTCTGTTCATCTAAAGGAAATTTTTAAGTAAACACCTGTTTGGAGATTTAAACCAAAGTTCAATTATAAGTTCCTGATTTATAATAGTTAATTGTATTAATATCATATCTCTGATATTTATTAGTAACCAAACCTGCCCTACCAGATCCCAACAGTCACTAATAGGGTCCCAAAATCTTGCAAAAAAGTTGCTAAGTTGGCAACATTGTCAGTGTTCTTGTTAAAATTTGTGTTATGTGTGACATGTTATGGCCAGCATTTAACTCTGTTTTAGGCACCATGGCTGCTGGATTGAGGCCACTGATCTTGCTTGTGTTGCTGCTGTCTTGTTGGCAACTGACCACAGCCAAAGAAGGAAAATCCACAAAGAAGGGAAAGAAAGGCAAGCAAGTCGTCTGTCCATCGTAAGTAAATATACTATATTAATATATACAAATACATATTCTTCATCTCACAATCTTCATAATTTGTCATCATAGTTCACCACAGTATCTAGATACTATTTCAGACACATGTGAGAGTACATTAAATATGTTGTACCTTTGTGCACAATGATAACAACACAATACTGAGCGCAACAAAAGGAAGGAAATGTCGGGTTGTGGGTGAATGACCGGCTTCCCAGCTATGCAGAGTGGATATGGATCATACTATTTAAGACCAAGCAGGACTGATTAAGTTAGAATATAATATGTAACATTTCCTCAGTAAAAAACAGAGTCAGAGAGAGAGATACTGTAATAGAAGCGGTCCCAAATAGATAAAGGTCACCTTTACTAGCCTAAAGTGTGGCTACACTTTTTGATAAATAAACGCTGGTCTCCATTAGAGGTCTGAAAACTCATCGGGTCACCTGCTTGAGCGAGTTCTAAGAGATAGCTTAGATCATCTACACAAATTTAAATGTTAAACTTTTGTCAATATGGACATGCTACACATCATTAGATGAGTTAGATTCTCCACAATTCAATCGGTTCATTTTATGGAAACTATGAGCACCAAAGTATAATTAATTCAGATTTACTGCCATGGTAAACAAGTGAGACAAAAAAAAAGTGCTGACTCCCATCCTTTGAAGCGATCATAAAGTCTGTACCATATGGTATGTGTTCATTACGCAATTATATATTCCTTTAGTCTGTAAGGGTCCACCGGGTTTCATTAAAATTAATCCAAGTTATGAATATATGTGAAGTCTCTTGCTCGCTGTCTGTATGCTGGGTAGCGTAAATCTTCAGCTGCTGTAAAATGATGCTCACATTCACATGTCATGGCAGCGGCACAGAAAAAAAAGTATGACCAAAAATTAGTTAGATTTGCTCAACAAAACTCAAGAGAGGCAAACCCATCTTTGCACGCCCGTCTCAAATACATGCTTTTCTCGGCAAGGTGCCACAACCTTGATCCCTAATCTAGACACAACCACAATCCATGGGAAACTGTGAGACGAGAAAGCACAAGGAGGAGGAGAAAGGAGCTCAGTGCATCATGGGTTCCCCAGTAGCCTATAGCAGCATAACTAAGAGATGTTTCAGGGCTATAACTATAAGCTTTAGTTAGAAGAAGGCCTTCAAATGAGTTATAATTTAGTTTAGATTTAGGATTTATTAATAGGCTGTAACAACATCTCCTTGGCTGGTGCCTGGATGACTAAAATAAGATAAGATAAGATAGACTTAATTGATCCCACACTGGGGAAATTCACTTGTTACAGCAGCTCCAGATGCAACACAGCAGATAAGAAAAGTAATACACATTAAAAACAAAATAAATTAGAAAAAACAAAAGATATCAAGAAAAAATAGAAATATAGTTGTATATATGAACATGAGTATTAATATGTCTTGGAAGGAGTGGATTTATTGAGACAAACATATTCTTCATGGCATGACCAGGTTTCAAAAAGAGAAAATAAATCAATATCATATTTAGATATGGGGATCATGACCCAGTTCTATAAGGACCCAGTTCCAAATTTTTCAAAACCCCAAGCTTGCAAATGTTAAAATATTCCAACCAGCCACCATCAGTTCAACAACAGGCAATTGCAGATATATTTGCCCATGTGTGCCCATCCTCACCATCCCAGTAGTTGTAGCTGAGAAGTGAGTGACGAGTTTGTTTGGTGCAACAGCTAATCAAATCAAGCGAGTGGCAAACTTTACTCGCACTTTCTCTCTGTTTTGATGCAGTTTACTATGCCGGTAAAAAGGTTTGCTTGAATCTGTGATAATATACGATAGCCCTACTCTGGCTCTACAGCTGTTATTCCTCACTCAATCTTTGGCTCAGTGTGTGTACTGTGCTGCTGAGGCAGGCAGACAATTAAATTAGCAACATAAAATGATAAAAAATCATTAAGAGAATCTGAAATATGCCACTGCTGATCAAAGATGGGATCATTTAGGGTTCTTTCTGTGAGATTTTGCTATTTGTCTCCTCATACTTTTTTTAAGCTCAGCAAAAATAGTTTGTGCTTAGTAGCAGTAGTAGTAGTAGTAGCAGCTCATGAAATTAATGTATTAAATGCACCTGACCCTATTTATACTCATTACATTTCCTTCTTTGTAGCAATGTCTCATGTATCAAGCATCTTTGGAAAGAGAAAGGAAGAAAAAGATACTTTATCTTTAATTTTGTTTATATCCTATTTAACAGCCAGTTGTCCGCAGAAGATTTGGCCCAGGTTCCGGCTAACTCAACCTCCAACATCTTGAACCGTCTGATGGTCAGTTATGACCCAAGAATTAGGCCTAACTTTCAAGGTAATGTTACAGACTGTACAGGTAGGTGATGAGAGACATTTACTTATTAGAAAGTGGACCAACTAGTATGTTTAAGTGTGCTAATTCAGTGTCAGAATGTATTTTCTAATAATCATAATAATAGAAAAATAATCTGAAATATATTAGTGTATTATTATAACTGCAGGGCAGAAATGGGAAAAAAACCCATTTAATTAAAGATTTTAATGATATAGCTACAACCGAAAATGTATCCAAACAAAAACAAATATAAATCAAATAGATGTAAAATAAACAAGGAGTAGTGACCTGTTAATTTGACAGATCCACTGCATTTGACCTTGGTAAAATAAAAGTCCATTGCAGCTCATGTTAATGCTGATTGGTGATTGAAAGCAAATATTATTCAGCACTATTTGTTGTAGGAGGTAAAAACACAAGAGATATGAGATGAAGGGAGAGAGATGGAGAAAAGATGCAAGGCAGAAGAGGAAACAGGATGAAACAGAGAGAACATTAGGAGTGTGTGTGGTTGATTTGCTCTGTGAAGCTTCAAGCTACAACCAGATGTCCTTCACACACTCTCTCTCTCTCTGTCTCTCTCTCTCTCTCTCTCTCTCTCTCTCTCTCACACACACACACACACACACACACACACACACACACACAATTCAGTTCAATTCAATTCAAAGAGCTTTTTTGGCATGAATAAAACCATGTTGCCAAAGCAATTAATAATAGTGCATATTTTGCATATCAAATATTAAAAAAACCTATAAACTATACATTTATCTTGTGCATTTATATATATACTTTTTTTCAATACAATACAGTGATTAAAAATATATATTATTGGTGCCCGGTTACCTCAGTCGGTAGAGCTGGCAACCCATATACGAATCCGACCTGCGGCCCTTTGCTGCGTGTCATCCCCTCTTTCTCTCTCCACCCACCTTTCCTGTCTCTCTACAGTTGTCTCTATAAATAAAGCTAACAAAAATGCCAAAAAAAAGTAATATAACAATATATATTATTAAAAGGGACATATTATGCAAAACCAACTTTTTAATCATTTGATTATGTACATTTGGGAATCTGGAGGGCCTATCAGCAGGCAAAGTGTGAAAAAAATGACTCAGTCATGTTTTTGTGGGCTGCCTCAGTCAGAATACAGGAGATAAATCACTCAATTTCAGACAGAGTTTTGACGTCATTTCGGCTCAATGTTGCCACCCACCGCAGTTTACTTCCTGTTGACTATCGGAGCTCCGCCATTGTTACTATAAAATAGCAAGCTAGCGGAGCCTGCCGCCTGCCAGCCTAATGTCTGGGCAAAGACTTCAGCAGGCAAACTGTTCAGTCATTGGCTGCACAACCCAACACAAATTTACATATGTATGAGCACAGTGGATTTATTTTTATTTTTGACGGCAATGTCCGGCGGAAAAACCGGAATGTGTCTGAACCACTTCGTGTCGGACTGTTTTCACAACCTCGGTCAGTACAACACTGGACTGGCTGAAAGACTGTTCCTGAAAGAGGGATTGTACCAACTGTCTGTGGAGAGACAGCAGAGGAAGTCACTGTAAGTATTTTTAAGAATTGATGCTTTGTTTTTCATTGCTCGTGTACCGCTAGCACATGCTAACAGTTGTTAGCTGCAGGAGCCTCAGTGATGCTAACGTAGTTATTGTTTGTTAAATGTTTGTTAAATGTGTGCAAGATGAACATGAAACTTATAAGGTGAGGTTCATTTATTAAGCCAGCTGGTGCAGATGTCTCCATATTCTCCACTGCTGCTATTTTTTATAGAGATTCACACAAAGTTTATGCCGTGAATTACCAAGCTTCGTGCAGGGGGGGATTGGCTTTATGTTCGTCTGTATTTTGTAGAACAGGGAGGATAACGTCAGTTAGGTTTAATTGTCTTTAACCTTGTACAGCTGGGTAGCTAAGTATCTGTTCACTGTGTGGACCAATACAGCTGTGAACAGAAGAAGACACCATACGTGTGTGTAAATTCAGCAACGGAGGTAATTAGTTTGGTAGGATTGTAGCTTTGATTAGCACACAGCAGCTCTGTGATTTCAATGTGTTACTATAGTTACTGAGTCTGTCGGACTTTATGTTGGAATATGAGGGGCAGTGTGATTGTTAACCCTCGGTAGAAGCTACCAAAATATCGTGAGTGAGTTATGGTGATTATTTTCTGTTTGTGTAACTTGCTAACGTGCTAACCAGCTGGGGCTAGCTTCCTTGTTGTGTGTGTGTGTGTGTGTGTGTGTGTGTGTGTGTGTGTGTGTGTGTACAGTGTGTAAATTAACTTGATCTACGTGCACTGAAGTTAACAATAAAGCTACTGTGAGAGAGAAATGGTCAAAGTGCAGGGATTCATTAGTTTAGTAATATTGTGTAACTTCGATGCTCACTCAAACCAAATAAAAGTTTTCTGATCCATATATTTAGCGTTACTGCAGTACTGGTATTTAAGTGTAGGTCCAGTGTAACATCTCATACTCATATCATCTCCTATTGTATAATAAACATCACCGAGGCTCACTGCTAAATGTCTGTTATTGCACAACATCAGTTACAGTCAGTAAATGTCCTGTGTGTGTATCTGCTGCCATTAGCTAGACATTTGTGTTGGTAACCTCAGACTGTTTCAACAACAGATCACTATGGCAACAAGGGACCCACCAGAGACACTGCTTTATTATTTTATTTTATAACTTAGGACTACTGTGAGCCACAAGGAGCTGTTGTACTTGTATTATATTATACTGTATATTATATGCTGCTTTACAAGTAACACTGAATCTGCCTTGTTTTACAGGAAACCTGATGAACCTCAGGTGTTCCTGGACCCATCAGAGGACAGAGACAGCTGCAGCTGTTACTTACAACATGTGTAACTGGAATATGAATGAAACATAAATAAAGTGTTTTATTTTTAATAAGAGTTTTGGTCATTTCATTTTTAAATTCATTAATAAGTGTGGTTTTATATAAATAACATGTTATTTCACAGAGGCTTTATGAAGATTTCCTGCATGTAGAAGTGTTGAAAACCTGGTTCGTGTAAACCTGTAACACAATACATTACTGTCTCAAATTCAAACTTTATGAATGTATTATGTTGGAAGATAAATTACATCATAATATATAATATAAATTATAGAATATTCCGTATATATACTGCATTTTTAATGGGGTTCAAACATAATTGCAGCTTTTACACTTATCTGAAGGTTAACTTTGGTAATAATACTTTCAAGTTAAAATATCAGACTATGAAATATGGATACAGTACAGTACAGTTGGTTACTTAGCAGTTTTTAAACCACATAAACAAGTTACTTTATTAGATGAGTAATTCCTTCAGTTATATTGACATGTTGTACAGGATAAAGTATTCCAGGCTTATAATATGTTTAACTTCACTGGGCTCTGTAGACTGTAGGTCACTGCTGTATCTGTAAAGACAAGCATACAACACAGTTGGTTTTCATAGTTAAGGTATAAACACTAACATTATGTGATAGATAGAGGTTAATATATATATAATTAAAATAGCAGTATTTACCTGAGGAAAACGTCACAGAAAGCTGTAATCCTGATTGTTGATGTTGTTCATTTCTCTGTGATTTCAGGTCAGACTCCCGCTCTAACATGTCCGGTGGTGAATCCTTTGGTTTAGAAGCAGTTATTGAATTAATATTGACAGTAGAAATGCAGCTAAACTCAGTAGCAGTGAGGAGCTAACTGCCGGCAATGCTGAGGCGGAAGTGGGAGGGGCCGGAGCGTCATACGCTTCATAATGCCGACCAATCAGAGCAGACTGGGCTTTTTGGGAGGGGGGCCTTAAAGAGACAGGAGCCAAAACCGATCGATTCAGACAGAGGCTGAAAATAGCTGCTCAGCTATAGGCAGTATGAGAAAAATAATGTGTTTTTTGAACATTAAAACATCTAAACCTATTGTAGTAGAGCCACCAAATACAATTATGAACCTGAAAAGGGGCATAATATGTCTCCTTTAAATACAATTGCTCAATTATTTTTTTTTTAGTCCCTCAGGCTGCGGCAGGCAGACACATATTTAGCTGCTAAAGGAGTGATTGTCCCTTTGCCAAGAAGGATGGATAGTTTCTCTTCTGCAGTTAAATTTGGAAAATCTGGTCTTTTTTTGGTCCACAGAGTGGAGATATCCCAGGGAGGAGAACTTATCACAGTGGTGGAGGAAGTGCATCTATGTTTCTGTTTCTCCTGTTGAACAGTGAGCACACACATGCTAAGCCTGTATTTGGTCAGGATCATTATTTGTTTTATATCTCTGACAAAGTGGAGATATTCAGACCATTTATATTCTCTGTTTAGGGTCAAATAACATTCAATTTAGTTTTCAATTTATCCAGTGTTCTAAATATAGGATATAATCTATGATTTTTGATGATTAATAATTATTTTAATTTTGTTGTATTGTTGAGAATCACCGCTGATAGTAGTCTGGTTGATTAGTTTCATCAACAGTTGACTGAGGGGACTCTTTTCAGTGTTCAAATATTGGCTTTTTAGTGGTTTAGAATGAAATGTGTCTTTTGGCTTTGAATTTAGATATGTCCAAAATGTTAATTCCCATTTCTGGAAGTTTACAAATAATGGAAAATGCCCCAGTTCAGCTCTGGCATTTTTCTTCGAACATTTAGCATTTCTTGAGCAGAATTCCGCGTGCAAGGCCTCTATTGGATGTTTGTCCCGCGAGTCGTGCTCCAATCTACTGAGCAGGCCCCAGATCTCACTTCCATACAAAGTGATTGGTACAATTACATAATTAAATATTTTTGTCCAGACTCCTATTAGGGACCGTGCCAGAGACTGCTGGAGGTCCCTATTGTAATTGCTAAAGTTATTATTGTTTGTAGGACTTTTTGACTGCTAATTTTCCCCCTGAACATATATGAAAGTGCAATTTTATTTGGCAAAGTGGTCAGGCCTGGTGTAACTTAGATATTCTATGTGTCGCTTTCAGGTCAGCCACTAGGTGGCGCTACTATTAAGAAAAGTAGGTTTAGGTTAATAACTACTGCATCATTTGTCTCACATTCAAAAACATTATATCCACACGTTAGGTGAATGGAGCTGCATCTCCCCATATAGGCCACACCCATTTTCGCCTAGATTTTTTGTTTCGCTACAGCGTGAAGAGTCCATAAACTACGTTTTTGTGTTCCATCCATGAACTTTTGTCCAATTTGAATTTAAAGTATTTTGATATTTCAAAAAATAAGCACGATATAAAATTAGCACTTCCTGTAGATTATGGTCAAAACAGGAAGTGGAGCCTTTCTCAACATTGGTATGTCCAATTGACACCAGGCTTGGGTCAATAGTTCCCCATGTCTTCCTTAGGCATCTTGTACAAGTTCAGGTTATCGCCACAAGGTGGCGATCTTTATAATGAAGAAGTTTATATCTCCACATCGGCACGTGTGATTAAAACGAAACTTGGTACGATGGTTGCCCATGGCTCCCTGAGGCTCGCTAAAAAAGATGTCAACAATCCGCCACTAGGTTGCGCTCTGGTGGTAGTTTACAAACAAAGTGGTACTGTGCGTAGACCATAATAGTTATGAATATGAAATAAACAGGGCACGTGTAGACTGGTGCCTGTAGCTCACATACCAAAAATCGTGTCAAAGCAGCCCCGGGCGCCACGTTTCACCGACATGTATGAAACTCGGTAGGCATGTGTAACGAGATGTACAAAAATAGCCTCTTGGACCCATACCCCAAACCCCACAGGAAGTCGGCCATTTTGATTTTCAAAAAATATTGGTGATTAAAAGTTGTGCTATTTGTGACTGTACGTTGAAGGGCGTGTCCATGGCTTTCAGTCAAAGTTGGCCATTTTAAATTCCGCGTTCATTCTCTTTGAATTTTTCGTCTTGTATTTAAACAAACTCCTCCTAAGGAATTTATCGGATCTACTTCAAAATTGGTCAGTACAGTTAGAAAATGTTGCTGATTAAAAGTTGTGCTATTTGTGCATGTACATTAAAGGGTGTGTCCGTGGCGTGGCATCAAAGTCAGCCATTTTGATTTTTTTGTCATTTTCTGTGATTTTTCATGTTGTATTTGAACAAACTCCTCCTTGGGAATTAATCAGATCTACTTCAAAATTGGTCAGTACAATCAAAAAATATTGCTGATTAAAAGTTGTGCTATTTGTGACTGTACGTTGAAGGGCATGTCCATGGCGTGCCGTCAAAGTTGGCCAGGTTGAATCGAATGTCAAACTGTGATGCCATTTACGCCATTTCAGGGCTTCTGTTTTAACTTACTCCTCCTACAGATTTTATCGGATTGACTTCAAATTCAATCACTGCGATCTAGACACATTGGTGATCAAAAGTTCATTAAATATTTACTCAAACAGCGTGTCCGTGGCATGTGCTGAATTTCCACGGTTCGCAGTGAAGAGTCTCGCTATGAACGCATAAGTCTTTTGCACAGTGTCTGAAACGCTTGACAATGTAAAGTGATCTCCCTTGGCTTCCTGCGATCAGGGTTTGGCTTGGCGTGGCTGCGGTGGGCAACCGCCGTGCAGGCCCCGACGTAGGTTGATGGCGAGGTCCCGCCCAATGCTGCTTGCAGCTTTAATTGGAATGTAAATTTTTAATTCAATTTATTGCCATATTAAAACTTCCTGGTGCAGATATGGTCAGACCAAGGCAAGTGTAATTTTGTGTGTGTTTAATTAAGCTGTTGTTCAGTATAAATGGGTATTTCTTTTAGGACATCTGGGTTGGAAATGGGAGACATGTTGCCAGTATTTCACATTAAATACAAAATGGCTGATTTCCGGTTCGATTTAGTACTTCTTGAGATCATACATATGCCGACCAATTGTCATACATGACCATGAAACAGGACATCAGGGCTGTTTTTTAAATATTTTGTAGGGGGTGCTATCGAACCATTTTGACACATCCACATGCAAAACTAATATGAAATGTCAGATTTTGCAATGTGGGACATAGTGTTTCATAAGTGTCAGAGAATGTACAGCCCCACAAAAATGCGATCAAAAGCTCAAATGTTTTAATCAAATTCATTAGATGTCATCGTCAGCATCCTTAGGATCTTCTGACCATTTCTCTATACCTTACTCTGCTAGAAGAAGTACATAAAAAAAAAAAATACATTTCCTGTTGCCACTAGGGGGCGCTATGACTATGAATATTATCACATATGAAGTGTTCTGGGCGGGACTCTAATCATACATGTGCATTTTAGTGCAAATTGGACAAAATACACATAAAAGAACTAACTAAGTCTAAATGTCAAAATTTGAGGCCACACCACAGACACAGCCTTCAACAAAAAATCATTCAATCAATCAACTTTTAATTATGATTGTCTTGAGATTGTACTGACCTAATTTGAAGTAGATCTGATCAATTCCCTAAGAGTAAGTTAAAATACAACATGTGCAAAACGCGCAGAACCACTAAACTAGACGAAAGAAACAAAGAATGTGCTTGGGCCCTTAATAAAGCTACACGCCACAGGCACTGTAGAAAATGTTTATAAAAATATAAGAAATATATACATTATATACAATAAAGTGGAATATGATAAGCCTGTGTATAATTGTAAATGTGCAATGTTTCAAGGGGTTTTGCAAAAAAAAAAGAGGTGTGCTTAGCAGGTTAATAGTTAATATTCTTAAACAGCAGATGTGGGAGGTAGTGTGTGCTGTGGCCCCGTCCCGAGGTGCTAGCTCATGGTGGTACTGTTGGGTCTCTGTAAATGTTATAAGGAGTTCGGTCTAGACCTGCTCTATTTGAAAAGTGTCCTGAGATAACTTCTGTTATGAATTGGCGCTATACAAATAAAATTGAATTGAATTGAATTGAATTGTATTGTGGCGTGGAGTGGGACGACTGATGGCACAAATTAGCCTCCCATGCGCTTTGTGGCACAGGGCTGGATGAGTCTTTGGCTGAAAGTGCTCCAGTATGAGAGGGGTTGTCCGTGATGGCTTTCAGCTTCGTCACTGCCTCCACACTGTCCATGCTGGTCGAGCTTGACTTAATGCTGTTCCCGGCTAACGTCTGGTGTGGGCGGTTTCAGCACTCGGCCATGTTCTAAGCTAACAGAGTGCAGGGCCAAAGGAGGCGGGCTCTGTGTTTACATCAGTGATGCTTGGTGATCAAATGCAGTCAAATGGATAACACTTTTTCTTATTATGGTGTGTAGCCCTTTGGTCACCTTTGCTGCGGTTACACCGCACTTGTAGCAGACCATATAGTATGATGTTAGGCAAACCAACTAGAGAACTGTGGCCTGGGATGTGATGTGATGTGATGTTACCTTGCATTGAGATTGTACAACACACTTCAGTGCAGACTTTGAATGTTCAGTGAACCAAAAGAGCAGGTAACATGTTAATGAGAACTATACGTAGCCACTATATTATATATTGTTCTGCCATGACACAATCATTTCAAGTGTGGAATATATTCGTATTTAGTATTTATGTGTTATGACCCTAACATTGTCTAATATAATTTAATTTCCCTGACTTAGTGGTGTATTTGTCCTTCAGGTATCCCAGTTGAGTCCAGGGTGAACATCTTCATTAACAGCTTTGGGTCCATCCAGGAAACTACTATGGTGACACACACAACAAAAACACTTCATGTTACTTTCTTAGTTTCTTCAGTTTCAAATGTCTGTATAGCTCATGCTTATATTAATATTAGTAGTAATACACAGTAATAGCACTATGCTGGAATGATACGATATGATATGATAATGATATACAGATCTTGTTATAGATGCATAAACTTATATATTCCATTGTATACCATTGGATCTTTCCAGATACAGGTCCTTCTTGTCAAATGCTAGTGCTAGAAATAGCAGGAGCTAATAGTGGCAGAATCAGGAGGAGCAGCAGTAGACCTGGAAACTTTTAATACAATATCTCTCTTTCTAAAAGGACTACAGAGTGAACATATTTCTTCGTCAGAGATGGAATGACCCTCGCCTACGACTTCCTACTGACTTTAAGAGTGAGGCACTAACTATTGACCCCAACATGTTCCAGTGTTTGTGGAAACCAGACCTTTTCTTTGCCAATGAGAAAAATGCAAACTTCCATGATGTCACACAGGACAACATTCTGCTCTTCATCTTCCGTAACGGAGATGTCTTGATCAGTATGAGGTGGGGACAAACTCTTCTTTTTTTCCCTTTTTTTCTTAATAAGTTATAATAATAATAATAATAATAATAATATAATTTAAAGTTTACAGCTCTTGGTTCGTTTTAATTAGTCAGTGTGAAAACGCAGCAGACCAGAACTTAAAGGCAAGGTACATGACTTAATGTTATAAAGAGTTTGGTCTAGACCTGCTCTATTTGAAAAGTGTCTTGAGATAATGTTATTAATTGGCGCTATACAAATAAAACTGAATTGAATTGAATGACTATATAAATACTTACAAATTGAATCAAAGTCACATTATTGGTAAACATGGTAAACATTTACCCTGCTTAACATTCAAGCATTGTCATTGTGAGAATATTAGCATGCTGATATTTGCATATTTTGGCTTATGGCTAAAGAGATCAAGTTGCAGTGGTGTTGGGGAAAACTAGCTTAGAATAAGAAACATTCTAATTTTATGGTAAATTATTTAGAAATCTAATGCTGCCCCCCACTAAAGATTTTCCTAGTCAACTAGTAGTCATTAAATAAAAGCAATAGTTAACTAGTTGTAGCACGTTTATGATATTTAATTATTTGAATATATACAGTGGCAAGAAAAAGTATGTGAACCTTTTGGAATTTCATGGTTTTCTGATTTGATTTGTCATAACATGTGATCTGATCTTTATCTAAGTCAAGGGTATTGACAAACATAATGTATCTAAAAATAACTCAAAAAAATTCTGATCTTTCATGTCTTTATTGAACACACTCATTCAACATTCAAAATGGCAGTGGAAAAAGTAAGTGAACCCTTAGAATTAAAGGGGAACTTGGCAAGTATTTCAACTGAATAAACCCGTTTAGAAATCATTTGGATGGTTAAATGGCCTGTTCCGGTGAAAATGGTGACTATCCCCGCTCCCCCTTGCGTCCCCAGGCGGAAAACCAACCTTGCAACTTTGGGACTACCGTCCCGTTAAGTTGGAAATAGGAAGTATCGTGAGAAGCGAGAACGAGTGAGAAACACAAACTGCTTTACAGCAATTCCACATAAACGCACACGCCCCCCTCAATACTGGTTAGCCACACCGGCTATAAGAACAAGCGACGATTAATGTATGACCCACCTCGGTAGACATTGCTCCACACGAAAAAGTTGCCCGGCAACAAATGCTCATCAGCAGCGGTAGAAAGGAGGAGGAGGGTGCCGCAAGTGAGTTTTACGACAGTGTTTATACGTCGTGAAATATACGTCCCAGAGCTGTAGGGGGAGCTCGTTGAGAAAACATGCGATGACAAAAGTGAAAACCAGCGAAGAAATGACTAGAGTTGCCAAGTTCCCCTTTAATAACTGGTTGACCCCCCCCCCTTGGCAGCAATAACCTCAACCAGGCGCTTCCTGTAGCTGTGGATCAGACCTGCACATCATTGAGGAGGAATTTTAGCCCATTCTTCCTGGCAGAACTGCTTTAGCTCTGTCATATTCTTTGGACGTCTCATGTGTATGGCCCTCTTCAAGTCAATCTATAGCATCTCTATTGGGTTGATGTCTGGGCTCTGACTTGGCCACTCCAAAAGACAGATTTTGTTTTTCTGAAGCCATTCTGTTGTGGACTTGCTCCGGTGTTTTGCGTCGTTGTCCTGTTGCATCACCTACCTTCTACACAGTTCTTCTTGTGCAGAGCAAACTCCAAAATTTTGAGGGGTTTTTATCAAAGTAGCTGCAGTCCACACCTCCAAACTTATTATCTTAACGAGACTCCAGGTGTGCTAAAACCTGACTCCAATTAGCTTTTTTGAGGTCATTAACTCAAGGGTTCACATACTTTTTCCATAAGCACTATGAGTTTTTTTTGGTTGTTCTCAATAAAGACATGAAAGATCAAAAAAATGTTGTGTTATTATTTTAGACACATTTTATTTGTCAATACCCTTGACTTAGATGCAGATCAGATCACATGTTATGACAAATTTATTCAGAAAACCATGAAATTCCAAAAGGTTCACATACTTTTTCTTGCCACTGTATGTTAACAGATGCCTGTTAAATGATAACGGAAAAAGCAGTAATGATTCGGAACAACCAGTAAGGAGACTGAACATTTCATTTATTTATTTTCTTCTGTCTCTTTGTTCTAAACACAGAATAAATAACTTCCAACTTCACTAAAACAAATATTGGCAAATACGATGGATGATGTAATGTTAACAGTTACTTACAAATTAACTTGATCATCTTCTTCCGTTTCCTGCCTCTCCTGTCGCTGCCTAAACCTGCTGTGTCCCCCTCCCAATTATAAAGTCCTGTTTTTATTTTTCTGCGACTATCCGACTAATGAGAAGTACATCGACTAAAACTCTTCTCAGTGACTAATGATTAGGTTGACTATTAAGGGGCAGTCCTAGAAAAATCTAAATGCATAAGAAGTTATATTTTTCACAAAATGTATCTTTGGCTATCTCTGCACATAGACAGGCCTAATGGTTCCAAACTGGAAGACAGTATAGAAACAGATTACTTTAATAAGAGAAAACAAGTGATACATTTAAAATTCAACAACATCTTTCCCCTGATGAACTGTGTGTCTGTATCTGTGTCTGTGTGTATGTGTTTCTGTGTGTAGGCTTTCGGTGACACTGTCTTGTCCCTTGGATCTTACACTCTTCCCAATGGACACACAGTTGTGTAAGATGCAGCTGGAGAGCTGTGAGTATAAGTACACACACACACAATAATGGATAATTACAGGCAGTGAACCAACATTTGACAAGGGCAGCTGTGGCTCAGAGGTAGAGCGGGTCATCCACTAATTGGAAGGTTGGCGATTTGGTCCCCGGCTCCTCGAAGTGTCCTTGAGCAAGATACTGATACTGAACCCCAAATTGCGTGTGTGAATGCTTAATTTCTGTTCTGGTGAGCAGTTGGCACCTTGCATGGCAGCATGTGTATGAATGTGTGCGAATGGGGTGAGTGTGGCATTTAGTGTACAGCGCATTGAGTGGTCGAAAGACTAAAAAGGCGCTATATATGTACAGTCCATTTACCATTTACCTTTTTACAAGTATTGTAGGATTTAGTGGCATGTAGTGGTAGAGTAACAGTAGTTACTCACTTGCTTCACCCTCCCCTTCTAAGCGTGAGGGAGAAAATAAGTTGGCCACGAAAAACTCAAAAGCTCATTCTAAGGTAACAAAAACACAATGATTCTGTAAGTGATCATACACTACGAGAACATACCTATGAATATTATGTTCTATTTCTGCTCATGGATCCTCCTAAATTTTACACATCGGACATTTAAAGTCAACTATTATTCTACAAGTCAGCATAAGTACATCTGATGACTTTATTACTGATTTTTTAAAACATAAACCTGGCAGCTGCCTGAGAGACTAAACAAAGGCTTTACAGGTGAAAGAATGTAAGAAATTAAGGAAGGCATAGCAGTCAGATTATTTTTAATCTTGCTTTATTATTTGCAATTTTTTTATAATAAAGAGAAGAAAATCATGTATACTTTTTCGACTTGCAGCTTCTGATTCTTGATATTGCTCCTCCCGCTGCATGTCAAAGTTTCTTTGAGCAAGATACTAAACTCCCAATTGCTTCTGATGCTGTGTATTGGTGTATGAATGTGCATTAGATTCTGACTGTGATGGCCTTTGCCATCACTGTATGAATGTGTTTGAATGGGTGGATGTGGCATGTACAGCTGTGTACAGCGGTTTGAGTGGTCTGAAGACTAGAAAAGCACAATATAAGTACAGTCCATTCACAATTTACCATTTACATCCCATGTTGACCTCTGATCCACTGTTAGTAAAAAAAATATTGATTAGTGCAGCTAAGACTGTTACCTGTGCTTTATTGTGGATCCAGTAGTAGATCCACTGATTAGTGGTAGAGGGATATTTACTTCTGGATCATTAGATGAGATTGAACAATGTTGAAAAGAGCTGACAAACAGTGTGGCATGGTTGCAGGGGTCTAGCTAATCCATCGAGATGATGCAAAATTATTTTCTCGATTAAACAGCTTGTCATTGTGTTAATAGTGATAACAATTATTTTTCTTTTAGAATTTAGGTCGTATCCACTTCAGTGTAGGCTGCTCACTCTTCTCCAGAAATTAAATTGTGTAATTAAAATTACATGATCATTGCTACATTGAAGGCATTTTTAAAAATAAACTATATGAGCAAAATATGAAGTTATTTTAATTTACTTAAGTTACCGTTATATGTTATAATAATATATTTTATATGTATTAATAATATGTAAAGTATACCCTAAGAATCTTATTGAAGGTGTGTCATTAGTTTGCAGAAATGGAAAAATTGATAAAAGTCAAACTGAGAAAATGGCAAAACAATGAGTTAAAAAAAAGTATTATTACATGATAAAATATAATAATAATAAAATTTTCATTTTTATGTTTTAGTTGGCTATACCACAAGTGATCTCGTGTTCATGTGGCAGTCTGACCCAGTTCAGATGGATGAGATTGCCCTTCCTCAGTTCGACATCAAACAAGAGGACATAAAATATGGAAACTGCACAAAGTACTACCAAGGAACAGGTTAGTATTTATTAATTATATAATAAAGCTAAAACATTAACACTGGCACTACATTAAGCATGACTGTAGCAAATAACGAAGTTACAGCTACCACTACAAAACAAACAAGGGTACAAGGTTATGCTGCCTATAAAAACAAAAATATATATAAAAAGTATATCAAATAAAATAAAAAATAAAATAAAATAAAAAAATGTGATTAATAAGAAAAAGGAAAAAAAACATATGATGGCATGCTGAAGGTGTATTAAGAAGTCTCAGCCTGAGGGAATAAGTTGTTCTTAAGTTTGGTGGTACAGCAGTGGATACTTCTGTATCTCTTGCCAGATGGCAGCATGGTGAGCAGGCCGTGGCTGGGATGGGTACTTACTTTATCCTTTGGCCTCTGGGCAGGCATGGTACTATGTTTAATGTAACACATTCCCATACATTTGATATTCAAATGTTAACTTTTGTTTTGTTGATATTATAATATGGTATTAGATCAAATGTTTGTTTTTTTACATTACTGGAAGATTAAAAAAAATGCATATATTAAAGTTCCATGAAAAACTGTCACCCCTTGACGAATGTGATTATAGTGCCGCATTTGAAAAAGATAATATATATGGCTTGGAGAAATGACATTCCCCTTAAATAGCTCATCAGTGTGTTTAGTAATCTCTATTCTGATTGCTGTCTCAGTAGATAGAAGAGGGGAGATATGTTGTTATTCTTTGTTGCGCAAGGTTCATTATCTATACATACTTAGCTGGCAGGCGAGATACCATGATCAAGAAGGTGGTTCACCCAGGGCGAGGCTTAGCCATTGCACTCCGATTGAGCTGACCTCTGCAAATTCCCCAAATGTGGGAATCTCGACTGCATAATTTCTGGTGGTGGGGGACTGCGTTCCCGCTCTCCCCTGATTGTGGCTGGCAGTAGCCAGTGTGTAGGTGCCAGTTTCAACTCCTGTGCACTGCTGAGGTGTCCTTGAGCAAGACACATAACCCCTAACTGCTCCCGGGCGCTACAGCTGCCTACTGCTCCTAAATGTATATAGGATGGGTCAAATGCAGAGGACAAGTTTCATTTCATGTATGTAAAATGCAGAATATACTGTGAAAATGACAATGATTTATTGTTTTTTAGATTAAAGTCTTTTTATTATGTACATGAAGCACATGACTTGATTGTCACTCAAGCTTTTGCTTTGGCTGTTTTTCATTGATATTATATATATTATGCACTACTTAAAACCTAAAACTATAAATTAAAATTAGAGCAGAGCAACATGCTAGATTATTATTGTATCCACTTAATGTGTGGATACTCTTGTGGTTTTGTTGTCACCGTGTTCCTATTTGTGACTGGGGACAAGAAACAATTACACCAATATTGTATTAAGTTTTTCATGTTTTATGTTTTGTCTGTTTAAGTTCAGGGGTTCTTCTTTGTTTACATACAACTGATCAAGTCCATATGTTATATATTATTGTATCTCTGTATATCTGAATGTATGCTCTCTATAACAGAATATGTTTTAGCCACACGTGAATGTGAACGTGAATAAATCGAGTGGTTGTCAGGTCGCAAATTAGAATGTTAAATACTTAAATCTATAAACCTTTGATCATTCTAGATTAAGAGGAGGATGGGTAAATCAATTGTATCACTCAGTCACAATTCTTATTAACAAGAATGTTCCATTTATCATGCCCACAGTTGAGGCTGATTCTGCTGGTCGCTAAATCATCATGGTAGGCATTTGACTCAAAATTAAGTGCAATCAGCTGAAAAGCAATTAAACTGCGGGCAAAGCATTCATCCATCACTAAATCTGACATTCCTGTACACCTGTAGTTACATTGTTGGCTTTTAGATCTGGTCTGATTTGTGTTCACACTGACTAATTAAAACGAACTGAGCTGTAAACTTGAAGTTATACAGACTGGTAATTAATGGATTCGACCCATGTGGGAAAAATTCTAGTGAGTCACAGCAGGTCATGGCAGATTCCTGCCCGGGTATGTTTTGCAAACACGCACCTACCTGCACCCGTAGAGCTCAGTAGTGGAACAGACCTGCAATCCACTTCAAGTATACACTATATGGACAAAAGTATTTGGCCACACCTGTTAATTCTTAAATTCAGGTGTTTCAATCAGACACCTTCCTACCGGTGTATAAGGTCAAGCACCTAGCCATGCAGTCTCCATTTGCAAACATTTGTGATGCAAAATGGGTCGTTCTGAAGAGCTCAGTGACTTCAAGCATGGTACTGTGATAGGTTGCCACCTTTGCTATAAGACGGTTCGTGAAATTTCATCCCTGCTGGATATTCCATAGTCAACGGTAAGTGATATTATTAAAAAGTGGAAGCATTTAAGAACAACAGCAACTCAGCCCTGAAGCGGAGGACCAGGTAAAATCACAGACTGGGGTCAATGACTGCTATGGCGCATGGTTCCTAAAAGTCGCCAACGCTCCGCTTCCATAGCTGAAGAGTTCAGAACTTCCATTGGCATTAATGTGAGCACAAAAACTGTTCATGGAATGGGTTTCCATGGCCGAGCAGCTGCATGCAAGCCTTACATCACCAAGTCTAATGCCAAGCATCGGCTGGAGTGGTGAAAAGCGCATCATCACTGGACTGTGGAGCAGTAAAAACATGTTCTGGGGAGTGACGAATCACGCTTCTCTGTTTGGCAGTCAGATGGTCGAGTCTGGGTTTGGCAGATGCCGGGAGAACGTTACCTGCCTGACTGCACTGTGCCAACTGTAAGTTTGGCGGAGAAGGGATAATGGTATGGGGCTGTTTTTCAGGGTTTGGGCTATGCCCCTTATCTCCAGTGAAGGGCTTTGTTAATGCTTTAGCATACCAAGACATTTTGGACAATACTATGCTTCCAACTTTGTTGCAACAGTTTGCTGAAAGCCCTTTTCTGTTCCAGCATGACTGTGCCCCAGAGCACAAAGCAAGGTCCGTAAAGACATGGTTTGATGAGTTTGGTGTGAAAGAACTTGACTGGCCCACACAGAGCCCTGACCTCAACCCCATCCAGCACCTTTGGGATGAACTGGAGCGGAGATTGCGAGCCAGGCCTTCTCATCCAACATCAGTGCCTGAACTCATAAATGTTCTACAGAATGAATGGGCACAAATTCCCTCAGAAACACTCCAAAATCTTGTGGAAAGCCTTCCAAGAAGAGTGGAATCTGTTATAGCTGCAAAAGGGGGACCAACTACATATTAAAGTATATGTATTTGAATACAATGTCATTTCAGTCCCTGTTGGTATAACGGGCAGGTGGCCGTATACTTTTGTCCATATAGTGTATGTATGTATATCTACACGAGATAGAAATCCCCTTCCAATTTTTATGTTTGATTCAAATACAGCTACCAAACATGTGACTTGCCATTGTAGTGATGATTTACCTTCACTACTATGTTGCCAGAATATTTTTGACTAATCCTTAATTACACCTCTGTCTTTTTGTAGGATACTACACCTGCGTGGAAGTGATTTTTACATTGCGTCGGCAGGTTGGTTTCTACCTGATGGGAGTTTATGCTCCAACTCTACTGATTGTTGTTTTGTCCTGGTTATCATTCTGGATCAACCCTGATGCCTCAGCTGCAAGGGTGCCATTGGGTGAGTACCCCAGATCCACATTTTACATACTTTATTTATATCATTTAACATTCAAGTATGCAGTATTCAAATATTTTCTTGAGTTACACCAATCAGCCATATCATTATGACCACTGACAGGTGTTATCTCATTATAATGGCACTTGTTAGTGGGTGGGATATATTAGGCAGCAAGTTAACATTTTGTCCTCAAAATTGATGTGTTGGAAGCAGGAAAAACATGCAAGTGTAAGGATTTAAGTGACTTTGACAAGGGCCAAATTGTGATGCTAGATGACTGGGTCAGACCATCTCCAAAATTGCAGCTCTTTTGGGGTATTCCCAGTCTGCAGTTGGTCAGTACCTATCAAAAATGGCCCAAGGAAGGAAAAGCGGTGAACCAGCAACAGGGTCATAGGCGGGTGAGGCTTATTGATGATTGTGGGGAGTGAATGCTGGCCTATGTGGTCCAATCGAACAGAGAAGCTATTGTAGCTCAATCAGCAGCAGCTTCGAATAAACAATCAGCCTACCTTACTGCAGTCATGTCTGTTATCATCTAAAAGTAATACACACACGCAGTGATAGATAGCATCAGGATGAGAGAGAAGTCAGTCCCTCTGGGTTACTGTGCTGCTAAAGATTTCCTGATCCCTTTTGTTCTCTAATCCTACACCTTCATATATCAGAATATTTGTAGAAAATAAATGAGGCACAGCTTTATTTATGTATATTTATTATTAATTATAATTTAATGGTCGATGAGAAATACTTATTTCTTTTTTATTGCAAACTAGTGCAGTGCCCGTAGGAAGTATGTATTGCTATAGAAAAGTGGGAGGTTAAGTAGCTTTTTCATGGATGGCCAAATGAGGTTGTGTTTGAAGGTGGGATGTCAGGGACATTTAGGTTTGTTGTGAAATGTGTAGATTGATAACTATTGTGTTTTCATATAATTGTTTACAATTTCAGATGCTCCATCCCTGATCCTCCTCTGGAGGTAGTATCAGAGGAGGGGGTGTTGGTCAGATGATAACTCACAGGTCTCTCACTGAACTTAATAAAGAGAAATGTCCCACAAAGCAACATTACAGGACCAAACAACAGTAACATAGTAACTGTAACTGTCTTTGGAAACTTATATGAGGAAAAAAAATACCACAGCTGTACGTGGAGAAGCGTCTGTCCTCCTGCCTGTCCTCCCGCCTGTCCTACCAAGTCTTCCGTTACATTTCTGCCTGAAAAACAGCGTCTGTCACCGGCGAAAAACTCACGGAGTGTATGCGATCAAAAATCACTGCGACCGCCAGCCCTCCAGACTGAGACATCTGTTTACTTTCCAGTGGAAAACATTCTCCGTCTTGCGAGTGAGGGAGTCAGACAGCGTCCAGTTTACTGCTGAAGATTATGTATAATTATGTAATTTAGAGTGAAAAACTTAACTTCGTCACTTTCCAGGATGTTTGGTGGGTCAGGATCTTAATCACTACACATTAGGGCTCTGCAGTGATTGGCTCTGGTGCGCACGTGGCTATGGTGGCTATGGTAATGCTAGCGGAATTCTAAATAATTTATTAAATAATTTATTAACGGTATCTTTGTAGTCCAAACAAAGCCGACGTTGCACACCCTTAAACCACACAGTAGCCATGTTGAAACTCTCAGGTCAGTCTGATCCTGATCTGCAGAGATATTTGAGCCACACACACACACACACACACACACACACACACACACACACACACACACACACACAAACAGACAGACAGAGATTCCTTGCTTTATAGGTAGATAAGAAGTACATTTACAGCATTTTATTTTTTTTATTTTGAAGTGAATATTATGTGTTGGTATATTTTTATGTTTTATGTTAGTAATTTTTTTGCAAAGAAATAAGTTTGGATCAAATAGTTATTTTCAAGTAAATACTGGGCGTACTGGGAGTTGGCACTGACATTATTTCCTAAGTGAATATTGTTACTCAAAATGCATTAAAACGCATAGATTTAGTCTTCAAATTCCTGGCCTGTCTTTATCTTTATTGTCTTTATGACAATTGAGGCAATGTTATGATAAGTAAAGACAATCATAATGTTACTAAACAAGAGCCTCTGCATTTGCCTTTTCCATATTGACCATCATTCTCTCATTGAATCTAGTACATTTTTGCATCAGTTTCATTAATTATGTTATCGAGTGAATTCTGCTCCCTGTTTTATAAAGTATAAAAGTGCAAAAGCATTGAATGACTGGATGTAAGTTGCAACTTAAGCTATGTGTGTATATATATATTATAAATTTCCGCATTAAAATCAAAAAGTTGTGCGCCCGGTTAGCTCAGTCGGTAGAGCTGGCGACCCATATACGCAGCGTCCCGGGTTCGAGTCCGACCTGTGGCCCTTTGCTGGATGTCGTCCCCTCTCTCTCTCCAGCTATCTCTGTCAAATAAAGGCATAAGAGCCAAAAAAATAATACTTAAAAAATCAAAAAGTCTATAAACAATATACCTATATTGTTGAGTTGTGTAATTACATTATCCTACACAGCTGTACATGGAGAAGCGTCTGTCCTCCTGTCTGTCCTCCCGCTTGTCCTACCGACTCTTCGTCACATTTCTGCCCAAAAAACAGCGTCTGTCACCGGCGAAAAAAACGTCAGCCCTACGGACCAAGACATCAGTTTACTTTCACTTTCCAGGATGTTTGGGCTCTGCAGTGATTTGCTCTGGTGCGCACATGGCTACGGTGGCTATCGTTGACAATGCTAGCGGAATTCGGAAATCATTTATTAAATAATTTAATAACGGTATCTTTATAGTCCAAACAAAGCCGACGTTGCACACCCTTAAACCACACAGCAGCCATGTTGAAACTCTCAGGTCAGTCTGATCCTGATCTGCAGAGATATTTGAGCCACACACAGACACACACACACACACACAGACAGAGATTTCTTGCTTTATAGATAGATAGATAACACAGCTTTTTACTGGTCGCCTTTCAATAGTATCACATCAGCCGTTGTGGTTGTCTTTTGAGCGCCTTGTTCTCTCCCACCTCAAAGCCATTACAGACCCACTCCTGGAGCCCCTGCAGTTTGCTTACAGAGCTTACAACTCTGTAGACAATGCAGTAAACATGGCCCTGCACTTCACCCTCCAGCATCTGGACTCCCCAGGAACCTATGCCAGGATCCTTTTTGTGGACTTCAGCTCTGCTTTCAATACCATCATCCCAGCTCTGTTACAGGACAAGCTCTCCCAGGTCGCTGTGCCTGACTCCACCTGCAGGTGGATCACAGACTTCCTGTCCGACAGGAAACAACACGTGAAGCTGGGGAAAATGTCTCTGACTCCCAGACCATCAGCACCGGATCCCCCCAAGGCTGCATTCTTTCTCCTCTGCTCTTTTCCTTGTATAAAAACAGCTGCACCTCCAGTCACCAGTTCGTCAGGCTCCTGAAGTTTGCAGATGACACCTCCCTCATCCCTCCATGACCTGTACGCCTCTTTGACCCTGAGGCGTGCAGACAAGATTGTGGCTAACCCCTCCCACCGCGGTCACAAACTCTTTGAGAAACTTGTCTCTGGCAGGAGGCTGCAGTGCATCAGGATGAAAACCTCTCGCCATAAAAACAGTTTCTTCCCCTCTACAGCTGGCCTCATCAACAATTCAATTCAATTCAATTTTATTTGTATATTATAACATTATTTACAGAGACCCAACAGTACCACCATGAGCAAGCACTTGGCGACAAGGGCAAGGAGAAATGCCTGTTAAAAGGCAGAAACCTAGGACAGAACCTGCGAGACGAGAAAGCACAAGAACTCCGGGGAAGAAGTGAAGTTAGTAATTAACAAGGCCCGGAACCCCCACTGACACTGACTCTTATACCCACCCTGTATACAGTATGCATTAGATTAATGCACTTTATATTTTGACAGTACTTTTATTTTTCTGTGTGATTTGTATATTTGTATAATTTATGCACCAATGCACTAGGACACATTCCTCGTAGGTGTAAAAACCTACTTGGCAATGAACCTAATTCTGATTTAAGATTTTACGATAACCATGGTACCACAAATGCACATCATCATTATAAATATATATAGTTTATTTATTTTATTTACTTATATATATATTAGTGCTGTCAAACGATTAAAATATTTAATCGCCATTAATCGCATTAATGTCATAGTTAACTCACAATTAATCGCAATTAATCGCACATTTTTATCCATTCTAAATGTTCCTGATTTCTTTTTGTCCCATTATTTTTTCTCATTTTAATGCTCTTATCAACATGGAAAAGTGGATTGGCTTGTTTTGTGCAAATGTTGTTTTTATTGAAAACAACATTGGCGTATACTGTAGTGTTCAATTTCACACTAACATTCTCACTTGGAGCAAATAATCTCTCACACAATGTAACACTGTCCATCAATAAAAGGGTGAAAAAAATACTTTGTCACACAAACAGCCCCTTCAACAGCCCTTTCTAAGGGATCAAAACAGGGCAATACAAAATAAAATTACAAAGTGCACATGTAAGGTAAACTAGGACTCAGCCTATAGTGCAGTTAAACCATGGCTTAATACTTTTCTCAAGTTTGCTTTGAACATAGCAGTCAGGCTACTGCTCTTTATTCAGCAGAGGCTCAGCAACCCAGCCTCTTATTTCAGAAAGAATGAACAGTAACGGTTACCAATAAAAGGTAAGCCTACTACTTCTTTGCTTTGAGCCAGTTACTCAAACAGACAAGCCTGTTGACATTTTCAGACAACAAGGAATCCATCCATTTCGGCGTCTAATGCTCACTATCCACTCAAACCGTAACGTCTACTACTCTTAAACAAGTGTGTGCGGCATGCCTGTTGTTTTGCTTCCGGTCTAGCTAGATCCGGTGTAGTGTTGTAGTTTTTCTAACGTTACTAGTTGTTGCAACAGCATGTGAAAAAAAACTACAAAGTGTGCTAGGCGTTAATCTCGCGATAAAAAAATTTACGCCGTTAAAATGGGTTTGCGTAAACGCCCTTTAGGCGCCGGGTTTTATTTTGAAAAATACTACATTTTGACATCTAAATTTAAGGCTCTGGCTTGAAAGTGGTTTGAGATAGAGACAAAGTGTAAATGAGACAAATATTGAGAATGACCTAAAGTTTATCTAGGGAGTAAATTTCCCCATCTAATTTGCATATTATGACGTCATATGGCGACGGCCATATTGGATTATATAATTTCCATGAAATACCTGATATTTTGAAAGAGAGTTGAACTTATTTCATCGGATTCACCCCCCTCCATCTATTTGTTATGTTGTCCACATATCAAATGAACAGGGAAAAGTAAATTGTAAGCCAACAGTCATAAACTAGAACTATTACTACCACAAAACTCATGTAAACAGTAGGTGTTTTTTATGATTTTTTACCCACTACCACCCCCCCTATTGGAGGACACTTTTTCTTTTCTTTTTTATTCTCTTCTTCATTATTATTATTATTATTATCGTCATTATTATTATCATCATTATAATATGATAATAATAATAACAGTAGGCGTCTTTTAGCTGCAGAGGCCTAATCTGATCTATCCAGATAGAAGTTTGTAGTATTTGTAGAGTGTGGAACCTCTCATTGCAAGGCACAGTACAGAGACAATATGAACAATATTGAGACCCCACCACATAGCCTAACAAATGGACAGGTACACATCCGTATTGGATGGCTGCGCCACTGCCGCGCATGGACGCACTGTGACCGGCGCGGTAGAAAGAGTGAACACTAACACTGGTCCCACCGCTATTCTCACAACCCCCGCTACTTCTACCACATCCATTAGCTCCCTTACTGATACTACAAGTTTGTGTAGTAATCCCACCTATGTTGGGCAAAGGGTCGTGTGTTTGTGCTTGTGTGTTTTCCTCGCTCTGCCCGGCAGTGCCAGTGCAAAGACGCACCGTGACTATCACGCTCACTAAACAACCGGCCGTCATCTCCCAAAGGTAGATTTTCCCCTTCAGAATCAGAGTCAGCGAATAGGAGACCCATCACTTCCCTAATCATCAACTTTTAGCTTGTCATTTTCGTTTATTTCGTCTCTATAACTCCTAAATCCAGCAATACCGCTTCAACATAAATAGCGCCGTGGCGCACTATTTCCGATTTCTCGCCCAACAGTTTGGACGGGACTTCCTCGAACATTTTGCATTGAAACATGATGTTTTTCTGAGCTAAGGTCTAAGTACGGGATGTCTGCCAACTAGTGGAGGGGAGTATGAATGAGATATAACACTCTATTAGGAGAAAACAGCTGTTTGATTCAGTACCGCGTCCTGTCGCAATTTTGCGACTTTGGCGCTTAAAGGGTTAACGCGTTAAACTGACAGCACTAATATATATTTATATTTACATAAATATATATTATCTTTTATGGTAACAGACAGTGGGTCATGCCACACTTAACTGCATAGTGAAGAGCTAGACAGCTTTTTACAGTCAAATGTGTGGATTTTCATGATTATCGCGATAATGTTAATTCACCACGATAAATTTATCTAAGTGTTTGATAATTCCGTATATCGTCCCATCCCCAGAATGGGTAGGAATCACACTTGGATCTGCGCTATTGTAGAAACAGGACGGGTCAACATGGCCCACTTCATTGGAGGCTACATGCAGTGTTTGTAGATCTAAAAGGCTCATTCTAAAGGTAACTAAAACATAACGATTCCTATTTTCAGGTGATTATACACTTATGACAACATAGTTCTGAATATTATATTCCATGTCTGCCAATAGATCCTCCTAAACACACACACTGGGCCTTTAACCTTGTGCTGTTTCAGCCTTTACATAAATCTGACTAGGTACAATTCAGTAAGATGACTTTGACTCAAAGGTCAAAGGACTTTGACTTAAAGGTCAACGTCATTCATTAAAAATCGAAGTTAACTAATTCCAGTGAGAATAAAATCATTCGTAGTTTGGTGATGTATGGCTCAATGTTTTGTGTTGTGGACTGCTAAGATTGGTGAAACTTTGTGGAAAGGTTGTGGTGATTGGATAAAATGTCAGGGTTGCGGAGAGGATTGGTTCAATATAGGTTAACTGTTACAATCGCATCATCGCAACTTCCTGGAGTGACTGGATTTTAGTCTATTAATTCATCAATTCACATTCATCAAACCACCATCCCTTTATCATACCATCCCACAATCTAATTGTTAGTAAATTGCATGGTGACATAATTTCTACTAACCAACCATTTTTTGTCTCCCTTGTTGTTTGCAGTACATAAAAAGTTGTTTATCTGGAAATAATCATTCCCATGTGGTAAAATTAATGTGTTTAATGTGCAAATCTGTGTGTTTCTAGGTATTTTATCAGTACTCTCTCTGTCCAGTGAGAGTATGTCCTTGGCATCAGAGCTACCAAAGGTTTCCTACGTAAAGGCCATTGATATCTGGCTCATTGCCTGTCTACTTTTTGGATTTTCATCACTGGTGGAATATGCTGTTGTGCAGGTCAGTTGTTAAACACAAACACTTAGAGACCATATGTACAACTGTACATTTACAGTACTTCTCCATACCAACTACTGGGTTAGACCCTCCCTCAGTCTGGGGTTGTGGAACAAGGAGAAAACAACATTGGTGGCACATCAGCAACGGGGCAAAATTATCTTTGATTCAAGCCAGTATTAGGAGGTCTAGACTGGTCGTTCTAATTAGATCTGTTTCAACCAAATATTTTTTTGCTGAAAGATATAAGATACTGGATAGTTTTGATTTTACAAAGCTAAATGTACAAGTATAGTACAAAGAGTATAATTTGAGAGGTGTCACTCAAATGGAAGAAAGAGTTAAAGCTGCAGATAAAAAAAAATATATCCTGTACAGTACTACAGATAATCTGTGAAAACCTCAGTTGCTTCTGGCTCATCCTAGTGCTCCTGATATTTGCAAGAAACCACCGCACCTGAACAAAAACAACCAGTCAGATCCAAGACAGATAGCTGATTGTTGAGTCTCATTCCCAGGTCATTAAATACCATTGCTGCAAATGAGACTCAGCTCAAGGCTTTTGTCAGACAGAGGTGGTGGTGGCTACTGAGGCACACAGACAAATCTCCCCACACTATTCATTTATTAATGAAGTAATCAAGTATTAGATCAATTGTTCCATTGTTTAATGGGACATTGTGTAGTGTTTTAAGTATTTTATTAGCTAAAATCAATGTCTTCATTCATAAATGTGTCCTCATTGGTGTAAAATTACCTCTGCCAATGATCTGACTTATCCTCGTAAGCGAAGAATTTCTTATCTGTATATACATTGGACCGGCAAGTCCATGGAGGCTTCCATGTCGTTCCGCCATTTTGAAAAACTATAATCGCCGAGAGGGACATAAAGCACTAGCCTACCTGTCTAGCTAATCCACAACGCGTTTTCGTTCAGAGCCAGCGTCACGTGACTGAAACCAGCTGTAACGGAGAAGGAGACCAGTGAGAGGCGCTTGTCACTGCCCCGGCACATTTGAAAGTCTGCACTGCACTTTAGTTGATAATGGAGGATCATACTTATGCCGAGCCACAGGAGAAGGAATCCTCGTCGCCAAAAAAGTGAAAAAGGGAATTAAAAAGGCAACGTGACCGGCAAATTCAAAAAACGAGGGTAAACATCGGGGTAGCTTTTCCCAGGTGGAAAGAGCTAATAAAGGAGAAAGACTTTCAAAGGGACGCTGAAGTTGCCTGCTTTCTCCTCGACAGGTAGGCTACTTGGTACATAACGGCTACCGCGAGGCACTAGAGAGCACTATTTGTTTGAATGCAAAATACAATTTCACCGCTAGATGGGAGAAATTCCTACACAATGTCCCTTTAATCGAGTAATCAGATAAGAATTACATTTGCTTTTTTAAAGCAATAGAAGCAATATAGCAATAATAAATATACAACAGAGAAAATAAGAAGTCTTTTTAATCCTCAAGGATTTTTTTAGCAGTGGAGGAAAGGCTTCTGTTGTACCTCCTACTGGTAGTGAGGTATTTTCAAAGTCATATATCAGTACTTTTACGTAAAGGATCTGATCCTTCCTCCACCTCTGGCTAGCACACCCTAACTGCTACCAGCCAAGCCTTCCCCATGTGGGTAACCTCTGCCAGTTTGCTGTGGGAAGTGAGTCTTCTCCAGTTTGTGAGAGTAAGGGATAGTAATGTTAGGCTACTGTATAATAGTTACTGAAAGGATGTGTGTTGTGTTTTCTGCCACAGAAATAAAGTCTCTCATTACTACGGTGTCTTGTTGTAGTTGTAGGTTATCAATTCACTGAGTTGGTCTGGACTTTGGACAGCTAGTTGGCTATTTACGGTACTGTGCAAAAGTTTTAGGCAGCTGTGGAAAAATGCTGTAAACTAAGAATGCTTTCAAAAATGAAAGTGGTAATAGTTTATTTTCATCAATTAACAAAATGCAGTAAATTAACTTAAGAGAAATCTAAATCAAATCAATATTTGTTGTGACCTTCCTTTGCCTTCAAAACAGCATCAATTCTTCTAGGTACACTTGCACACAGTTTTTGAAGGAACTTAGCTGGTAAGTTGTTCCAAACATCTTGGAGAACTAACCACCAAACTTCTGTGGATGTAGGCTTCCTCAAATCATTCATGTAATCCCAGACAGACTCGTTGATGTTGAGATCAGGACTCTGTGGGGGCCATACCATCACTTCCAGGACTTCTTCTTTACACTTAAGATAGTTCTTAATGACATTGCTGTATGTTTGGGGTAATTGTCCTGCTGCAGAATAAATTTGGGGCCAATCATATACCTCCCTGATGATATTGCATGATGGATATGTATCTGCCTGTATTACTCAGCATTGAGGACACCATTAACCCCCGACCAAAACTCCAACTTCATTTCATCACAGCACAGAGACAGCTCTGGTTAAAGTTAATAATGACCTTTTGATTACTTCCGACAATGGACTTGTCTCTGTACTTGTATTATTAGATCTTAGTGCTGCATTTGTTATTTGCAATAATATTCTTTTACAGAGACTTGAGCATCAAATTGGTTTTAAAGGAACCGCACTAAGCTGGTTTAGGTCATACTTATCAATATTGTTCTGTTTGTACATGTTAACGATGAATCTTCCATAAATACTACAGTTATTCATGGAGTTCCACAAGGTTCTGTACTTGGACCAATTCTATTCACTTTATATATGCTTCCCTTAGGCAACATTATTAGGAAACACTCCATTAACTTTCATTGTTATGCAGATAATACACAGTTATATTTATCTATCAAGCCCGATGAATTTAAGCCGAAGCCTCGTTTAGAGCTACACATTTTCTGATAAAGAAGAAGAAGGCATTTTCAGACGAAGACATTTTCAAAGAAGCAATGATGATAATTGCTAACACTGTACTTTAAGACAAGAAAAATGGAACTGATCTAATCTCCACTCTCTCCGATGTCCAACTGGGGGCATCTACGATGGCAAGACGAGTGGCGGCTATGTCCGGTAACTTGGCCGATCAGCTGGACCGGGATCTGGCGAAGTGCAGGTGGTTCAGCATCCAGTGCGACGAGTCCGTGGACAGCAGCAGTACAGTGCAGCTGTTGGTCTTTATCCGGATGGTTTTTGGTGATTTCTCCACAAAAGAAGAACTCCTGACACTACTGCCCCTAAAGACAGCTAAGAGTGGAGTTGACATTTATAATGCGGGGAAGGAGTTTTCCGTGCAGAAAAAGGTACCATTGGAAAACCTGGTAGCGGTGACTACAGACGGGGCTCCTGCAGGTCCATACAGGTTTCATCGCTCACTGAAACTGAATTTCTGAAGGAACCACTGCATCATTCACTAGCAGGCTATATGTGCAAAAGTGATCGGCTTTGGGCATGTGATGACTCCCGTTGTGAAAATCATAAACAGCATCCGCTGCTAAGCGAAACAGCACAAGATATTCAAGGTGCTATTGGAGGAGATGTCAGCTGAATATGCTGACCTGCTGCTACACACAGAAATCCGATGGCTCAGCAGAGGATGAGTTTTACTTCGTTTTTTGTCACTTTTGGGTGAAATCAAAGAGTTCATGCAGGACACAGAGTGGACACTTGACCTTGCATTATTAACAGACATTATTGAGAAACTAAACCACTTGAACTGCGAGCTGGAAGGCAAAGGTAAGACTGTTGTTAATATGATAAGTGCTTTAAATGCATTTAAAGCCAAGATGAACATTTTCTCTGTGCATTTACAGAGAAAAAAAGTGCTGCACTTTCCCTCTGTGTAGTGGGTGCTGAAAGACAATGCTTCTGCATCTGAGACATTTGACAAAGAGTTTGAAAATAGGTTTTGTGACCTTGATCAGCTTGAGCCATGTGTGTCTTTCATTTCCAATCCTTTCATGAACGTGGACATAACATGCATTGCTGAGCAACTAAGTGCAGCATTCAACTTGGATGCTGGACAGGTGGAGATTGAAATCCTAACATTGCAACATGACCTCCACCTCACAGCCTACCAGGCTGCACCAAACTTTTTGTGCCTTGTTGACACAGAAAAGTACAGTGGTGTATGCACAGCAGCTATGAAGGTTGCCAGCGTGTTTGGTTCAACTTATCTCTGTGAATCAACTCAGAGTTGCAGTGTCAAGTTACACACCAGATTACAATGCACTGGTGAACAGCATGTCTTCCCACTAACAAAGAAACAGATACCAGATGTTGTCAGTGGCAACATGGCAGTGCCATGGCAAAGTTGAATTAAAATATTGAAACATTGTGTTCATGAAATGTAACAGATAATATCACTGATATTATTGTTATTATTATTAATATTATTATTACTACAGTTACTATTATTACTATTGTCACTGCTCATTGTCCCCCATCGTTGCTGTTGTCGTAATCATCTTCTTCATTGTCTCTCTCTCTCTCTCTCTCTCTCCCCCCCAACTGGTTGAGGCAGACGACCACCCACCTAGAGCCGAAAGGTCGGTCCTAGGTTTCTGCCTCTTAACAGGCAGTTTTTCCTTGCCCCCGTGGCCAAGTGCTTGCTCATGGTGGTACTGTTGGGTCTCTGTCAATGTTATTAGGAGTTCGGTCGAGACCTGCTCTATTTGAAAAGTGTCCTGAGATAACTTCTGTTATGAATTGGCGCTATACAAATAAAATTTAATTGAAAAATTTAATTAACAGATATGTTGTTGAAAATGCAGCAGCATTTTTCTTAAACATTACATTATTGAAAACTTTTTCAAACATGGTGCAACATAGTTCATGATTTGTTAAAATGGCTTGTGAAAATGGGACATTTTTCCAATGAAATGTTGTACAAGGGATCATCAGAAAATTTAAACAATTCCTGAGATTAATTTTAAAATAAAAATTTTGTGGAAATGAGATCATAATCGCATCGCAGCGCTTACTTCCTGTTGCCAGTAGGTGGTGCTCTCACTATATCTGAATATTGTCATGTAGACGTGTTCAGGGCGGGACTATTATCAAACGTGTGAAGTTTCATTGAGATTGGACCATGTACACTGAAGTTGTGAGGACGTGTTCAGGGTGGGACTGTTACAGAATTTGTGAAGTTTAGTGGACATTGGACATTGTACACTGAAGTATTGAGTACTATCTGTTTTATGGCCAATCGGCGGAATTCAACACATCGTCACAGGCACACGGTTCGACGTATAGTCACAAATAGCACAACGTTTGATCAGCAAACTGTACTGACCAATTTTGACATTAATCCGATAAATTCCCTAGTAGGAGTTCATTGAAATACAATGCAAAAAAAAGTTTGCAAAATGCAGGAACTGGCTTCACAGTTTGACATTTGATTCAACCTGGCCAACTTTGACGACACGCCACAGACACGCCCTTCAACGTACATGCACAAATAGCACAATTTTTAATCAACAACCTTTTTTAATTGTACTGACCAATTTTGAAGCAGATCAGATGAATTCCCTAGGAGGAGTTCTTTCAAATACAACGCGAAAAATCACAGAAAATGGCTGCGAAATCCAATGTGACCAAATTTGACGGCATGCCACGGACACGCCGTTCAACATACAGTCACAAATAGCACAACTTTTAATCAGCAATGTTTTTTGACTGTACTGTCCAATTTTGAAGCAGATCCGATAAATTCCCTAGGAGGAGTTTGTTCAAATACAAGGCGAAAAATTCAACAAAAATCACCACGGAATTCAAAATGGCCAACTTTGACGGCACGCCACAGACACGCCCTTCAGTGTACATGCACAAATAGCACTACTTTTAATGATGATGCAGAGATATAAACTTCTTCATTTTAAAGAGCACCACCTTGTGGCCTAAAATTGTGCACGATGCCTAAGGAAGACATGGGGAACTATGGACCCAATCTTGGTGTCAATCGGACATACCAATGTGGAGAAATGGTCCACTTCCTTTTTTAACAAAACATTTACAGGAAGTGCTAATTTTATAACGTGCTTATTTTTTTTAATTTTTTGCCAGGACAGTCCTCAGATGCTACGTGAAGAATTTTGTGCGAATCGGACAAAGCGCATAGGAGGAACACCAAAAAGTAGTTTATGGACATTTTGCGCTCTAACGAAAAAAAATATAGGCGGAAGTGGGCATGGCCTATATGGGGAGATACAGCTCCATTCACCGTGGATATAAGGTTTTTGAATGTGCGATAATCTCTCTCTCACGCGCGATGCAGCCCCAAACTTGCAAAGATCCTCCACCATGCTTCACTGTTGACGTTAGATGGGTGTACCTGGGTCCCACTGGTTTCTGCCAGTTCTGTGCTGATGGCACTGCTGGACATCTTTCGATTTCGAAGGGAAATAGGCTTGATGTGTTTTTCATCAAGTTTCCTTGGCCAACCACTGCATCTACGATCCTCAACGTTTGTTTCTTTGTTTCAAGAAAAACACGTTTCTTTGTGCTTTTTCAAAAGAGCTTGAACAGCACATCTTAAAACCCCAGTCTGCTTTGAAATCTTTGTCTTGGAGAGACCTAGCTGATGCACATGTCTCAGTCTTGCAATGGTGAATGACCTGTGACATGAAACTGTCCCCCACAACCTCACCTTGGTAGCAGAGTTTGGCTGTTCCTTACCCTGTTTTAAGCCTTCTACACAGCTGTTTCTGTTTCTGTTTCTGTTGATGACTGAGTTTCCTACCTAGATTTGTCTACACATTACAAATCTCAATGCACTTGCAAATCTGTGAACAGATTTCCTGTACACAAATCTCTGTACATATTTATATATTCTTTTACATATTTACATAACTGATTATGCACATAGAGGTTGAGATACAGTTGCACAACTCTCCACTCACATTTGTACGTAGTTCTACAACAATAATGAACCCATATTTTTCCTAGTCCCTGCCAGTACATGTTCTTAAGCATTCTGGATCAACTGGAGAGTGTTAAGGGACTTATTGGGGCAACCTGATACTAAGGAATTGCAGTATTCCAGCCTAGACGTAACAAATTCATGGGCTAGTTTTTTTGCATGGTTTTGTGACAGGATGTATTTAAGGAAATATCCTGATAAAAGATAACTCCAAGATTCCTGAATGTGGTGCTGGAGGCCAAAGTAATGCCATCTAGAGTAATTATATCTTCAGATAAAGTTTCGGAGGTGTTTGGGGCCAAGTACAAGAACTTTGAAGGGCAGAAAATTGCAGGACATCCATGTTTTTATGTCCTTATGGCATATTGATCAGCTTGATCAATATAATTGGGGAACATCTGCATAACAAATGCATTTTTCTCGAATCCAGATAAATACTTTATCGTATTGGCCTTGCGTCCAGACGGATACGGCGTTTTTGGGGTGTGAAAACTGTATTTTTTGGAAACCGCCTCTCTAGCCTTTAATCTCAGCCGCCGCCGCTAGACGCGTCATCACAACAACAACAACAATGGCGGACTACTACTACTTGTTTGTAAACAGCGCATGCTCCATGGCTTCTCTTCCGGTTTTAGTGTATTGGTGTGGCGGTGTCACAGCGCCACATACAGGCCTGGCATATGTACTACAGTGTTTTGGGTCGTTGCAGTGAATCCGCGTGGACGCAGATATTTTCTGGAAACGACGGGCGTGTTTACGGAGATTTTTCTTGAAACAACATCGTATTGGGTGAGGCCGCGTATTCATGAGGACAGGCCCTTAGAGAGAAGGGGGGGGGTCAGATATAGGTCTATAGTTGACTAAAGCCCCTTGATTGACAGTGATTTTTATTTAGAAAAGATTTATTGGGGGGACTTTTTCAGAAGTTGGAAGGGACTCGTCTCTTCTGCCCCCTCTCCAATTTACCTATTCTGTAGTTTACGTATGAGGACATGTTGGCCTAAAAGGTAGATTGTATATTCCTGTACATTATATTTACATCCTGTAAATTACATGTTCATAAAATCCCTCCAATTTCCCCCTCTGTGTCTATCTGTGTAGGTGCTACTAAACAGTCCCAAACTAATTGAAGAGGAGAAAGCCAAAATGGCGACAAAGGAAAAAGCTTTGAAAGAAAAAGAAGGAAAGAAGCCATTGAATAAAACTAACAACACAGTGAATGGGACTGGTGGAACACCCATACATGTCAACACTCTGCAGGTAAACACAACTTAGCCAAATGGACTAGCATTTCTGTTGTTTACTTTAAATGTAATAAGCATGATATGTATCCTTGAAGATTAGATCATATTATCACAGTAAATTATATGTAATGTAAAAAAACTCTAATAAGCTCATTTTGGTTCATCTGAAGCTTTTAAGGAACAAGAGTACTACATGAAAAATAGCAATGAACTAGCGCCATAGCAAGTATTCTTAATGATCAGAATGTGTTATTGTAATTGCAAAATTGCAATTTGCAGTAACGTGCAGGCTGATTCTGTTATGTTAACCAGAGAAAGCAGAATACAAACTCGGTTACAATTTCCAGAGGCAGGCTTTATTGAGAACCAGGGAATGAAATGGTGATGTGAAGTGCCTGCTGGCAGTGGTGAGAGGATATGGCTGAGACCCAGGCAGAGTGGAACTGAAGATGGAGGCAGCATGGCAGATAAGGAGCAGGCAGGTAGCTGAAGTGAAGGTGATGATCCTGGGGCACGGGAAAAGTTCACTGCACGAACGGGGAAAAACTTCTCTTAAAAGGAGCATTTCACCCGTGGAAACATTAATATTTATTGAAAGTGGGTTATATATGTAGTCGGAATGTAACATACATTTTGAATTTGGTGCCTATTTGACCGAGAAAAGACAGAAAGTGACTTTAGGGCACATTTGTATTAAAGACAACAACTCCCACAATGCACAGCTCCGCAAGCCGCTCCCACTAACACTATCAAGGACTACAACAATGTGAATGTAAACCATTTATTTACAGAAATATATCAACAACAACAAAAATATATGTTAACAATGACAGTTATAGTTCCTCCTGAGCGTCCTCAACTCCTTGGTGCCCGCAGTACTGGCCATCTGGAGCTGGACATTTCTGTCGGATAGCCTGCACTACATAAGCGGGTAAAACGACGCCTTGACCCAATCTCTCACCTTGCAGGACCCATTCCAGAAAGGCTGTTAGGCGATATTGTCTACAAGACATTGAGCACACAGTTAGCGATGCATGGTCTTTGTGTTTAGCGTGCCACAAGCTGTTTGTGCAGTAAAGAAGCTAACGTTAGTTCAGTTGGCTGACCATCATACTTTTGAAATTTCTTCCATATTACATTGATTACCATAGTCCTAACGTCTGGCTCGCTAGCGCCTCCGCTTAGCTTCCAAACAAGATGGCGGTTATATTTCTTAGTTTCTGCAGGTGAAGTCCCACCCACTGATCTGTAATAGGTCTGTAGCGTGAGTGAAAAAAAAACGAGGAAGTAGTGTTTGTAGTCTCACCCCCTCTGCAGAGATATGAGACTTCCTGCTTCCGATGACGCAAAATGACGATTTTTACATCATTGGAAGCAGGAAGTACAACACTAAAATCCTTATTTCTCCCCTCTCCGGGGAAGTGAGGGAATGATGCACGACCATTCAAAAATATCACTGGGGTTCTAATGATACAAAGCTTAATGCAAATGGGTAAACTGTCCCTTTAAAGTTCTCTAACTGGCCAAGAAAGTTACTACCAGGCTTGTAGAGACAACGATCTGGCAGAGAGTGGATGGAGAACCAGGGTTTATATACTGCAGGGCTGATGAGTTGATTACTGGCAGGTTTGAGCACTCAGACAGGTAAGCAGGTAATCGGGGAGAGTGGGAGAAGTCCAAACACACACACACAGACAGAGAGACAGGGAAACCAGGGAGGAGAAAACTCTAGCAACTACCGACTATAACAGATTCTCAAATTGTCTTCTTAAGCTTTATCTTTATATCTTGTTAAAAATGCTGCATTGCCCTCATAAACAAAGTATAGTAAGTATAATAGATAAAGAATTATGGTCCGAGCATGCTTGCCTGGGGGATGGACTAAACTAGAAAGCTGTAAGACAAGACTGAACCCATTTGATGACTCTTTCTTTATACAGCAAAATGCCATGCCAAGACTTTATTGAGTCAGTCTCTGTTTTTTACCAGGTGGTAGAAACTCGCTGTAAGAAAGTTTGCACCTCCAAGTCAGACCTTCGCTCCAATGACTTCAGCATCGTGGGATCTTTACCTCGAGACTTTGAACTTTCCAATTTTGACTGTTATGGTAAACCAGTTGAAGTGACAGGGGCCCTCAAGTCCCAGAACAAAGCCAACAAGAAACCCCCACCACCCAAACCTGTCATACCCGCTGCTGCCAAACGCATTGACCTCTATGCAAGAGCCCTCTTTCCCTTCTCCTTCCTCTTCTTCAATGTCGTCTACTGGTCTGTCTATCTGTGAGAGGGAGAGGAAGATACTAGGGTGGAAATTAAGTGGTTTGTATCCTGTTGTGGACAAATGTAGTATGTAGTGAACTAGTGGTGGCTATACTGGTAAAATCAAGATTTCTAACATTTCAGAGCCATGTTTTCAGAGCTGCAGAGACTGCTGTGGTACCCTGGAGAGACCACAGCTACACAACCTTGGAGAGGTTGGCTTGAGCCAGTAGGCACTGCATGTGTGTCTCTGTCTGATACAGGACATTGTGCTTAGAGTAAACTAATCATCGCTGTGGTTACCCTACGCAATACCCTAATGCTTTTTACTAGGATTACTGGTAACAATTCAAAATGGCCAACATTAACTGAATAAGACATAAAAAAGAAAATACAAGAATATAGACAGAATAAATGTATTGTAAAAGAAAAAACATTTCAATAAGTCATTAAATATAACTATTCATTTTTATTGTATAAGTCCTCATTTTGAAAGATTATCAGTGCCATTATGACTATATATATATATTTATATATATGAATCCTTTACTTACAAGATATCTCATTATTAGTTGTATTAGTTAGCTTTAGAAGCTTTTTAGATTCATGAGAATGTGACCAAACTGTTCAGATGTCATTTACACCTAGCTGATCCGATCAACAGCGGAATTATCAGATGGCACTCTGATCTGATTCTGTAAGGCATTCTGTTTGCATGTGTTTTCCTGATCAAGATAAACCAGATAGAGGTCACATGTCAGTACCAAAGGCAAATAGGGTCTGATACCAATAGAGTAGTGTACTAATCTAAGTAACCCTAAGTCCCAGAGTGACTTAAGATGGTGTTCCATTTAGTTCCATTTCAGAGCCTGAACCACACCAATAGTGAACTACTCTCAAGCTTCTAGACGGTTTCTCTATGGTTAAGGGTTCAGCATGTTTTAAACGAACCAGTTTGTACTAAGTGTTGTCCAACCATTTCTAAATTCAAAAGTGGTTCTAAATGTTCTCATTGGAAGGCCTGCTCTCATAAACAGGGGCTAGATGGAATGAATCATACAAATGTGGATAACAATGCATGCTTTCAAACTGCCTCTCCTTAACGGTGTTCATGCTGTTGGTTGTTCACATGAAAAGTGTAAAGACTGAAACAAGAGAGCTTGAGAGAGAAGTTAAAATCCTGCCTACTTTCACACCTCCACACACTTGGTTACTTACTAGTGGGCATGATCAGTGTTCTTCAAAAATTTTGGTTTGTGTTCTGTAGGATCCTTTAGTCACTATTGAACTGTGCAGAACTGTTGGGTGCTTTCACACCTACCCAGTTTGGTTTGGTTCAAACTCTGGTGTGTTTCAGTTCTTTTAGATTGATGTGAAAGGACATGATTTTTTTGTGATGTGATTTTAGTATGAATTTGTATGCTAAACTAAAGGTCCAGTATGTAGGATTTATTGCCATCTAGCAGTAAAATTGCAGATTTCAACCAACTGAATACCACTCACCTTACCATCCCATTCTAAGCATGTAGGTTAAACTACAGTGGTGGCGAAAGTTCTCATTTGGGCTCCTGTATAAAAATGGTGGAGCTGCTCCCTCTGCAGATAAAAACAGCTCATCCTAAGGTAACGAACATAAACTAATAAAAACTTACGTATGCATATTATATTCCATTTCTGCCAATAGATCCTTCTAAGTATTACACATTGGACCTTTAAATCCATGCAGCCCATCGACTGACCATAGGAACTGTCAACAAAGCAATATGTATAAAGTTTTAAGATTATATGATAACCATGGTACCACAAATGCACATCATTATAAATAAATGTGTGTATATATATAGTATATACACTTAGATTTATATATATTTATATTTACATAGATTTATTTTTATTTTATTTTTATTTTTTGTTTTTTATGGTAACAGACATTTGGTCATGCCACACTTTAATAATTATTTCATATATTGTCCCATACCTAGAATGGGTAGAAATATATGAACTAATATGAACAGAGCAGGTCACAAACTCCATTTTACTGTCCCTGCATACCAAGACATACATCAACATACGAGATGATCATTTATAAATATATAAATTGCTCAGCAGATTGCTGTCTTGACAGTTCATGATCAGATGATGGTTTAAATACATTTATTTATTTATTTATTTTTTAAAGGCGCCTCTCTGAGCACTCGAGGAACACCGTACAATACATAAAAATAAAAAAACAGTAAGAAATAAGAAACAGACAGGAAAAAGACAATGTAGAATAATAGTTAACTCCGGTTGGTCTGCTTTGTTTTTACACCATAAATGAACTGCTCCAGAATTGTATTGTAAGTGGATATGGACTTTCCTCTTCAGGTGGTCACAGTCCAGTTGTTTGGTCCACAAAAGAGTTCAGTTGATTGCTTTTACATGCTTTTTAAGTTTTTAGTCTGCCCATTTAACTGCAGATTACCATGAACAAAATATGATAACATGCTTTTCTGGCTCTTGCACCAATTAATCTATGTTCTTGGATCGCATGCTGTTCATAAAGTTATACATACATGGTTTTTATACCATACCTTTTTATACCATACGTCCTCCTGATTGAGTTGGCGAGAGAGGGAGATAAACTATAAATAGCTTAAACATTAAGATAGTCTTCCTGATGGAATTTGCGCTCGGCTTCATTAGAACATTCCACCATATAGAGATCATTAGATCCCTATATTCTAGAATGGTAGCTAACTGCTAGAGCACTTCTGGTGTTATATTACACTGAGGTTTTAAGCACCAGTTAAGCTTGGCATCCAGCTGCTGCACTATGTATCATATGCCCTTTCTTAAAATATATTGCTATGTTATCAAAAAACAGTCTTCAGACAAGTAAACACAGCACTGCTAAGTATTTGAAATTATTTTTTTTAGGAAAGTTCAATACAAGTTATTTTACCCAGGATGTGTTATATTTTTTGATCAAATGATCAAACAGGAAAGAGGACAAAAATAACTGAAGAGAAGAACCTCTTTGTAATTTTTTTTTGTGAGCCACTTGTAACATGGATTTTGAAAGTGCTATATGCTGTAAATAAAGACTATATTATTCATCCTTATTTACTTTGAGAACCTGACTGTATCAAAGGGAAATATGTTCTTCCACTGTCAGGGAGTGACATCGGTTCTTATTACCATTATGATCTTTAAAGTTATGGGAAATTGCATTATTTGTGAATGCATCTGTATGTTTACACTTGATTTACATTGTGTTTCTCCACACATCATTTTAAATGCCAAAAAATGTTCAATAATTGTTGAAAATAACAATGGTCCAATGTACAGATAAGAAGACAAGCATGGGGTCTTGCCACTGACATTAAGGTGAGACAATTACATGACACGAATGCAGCAGCAGTCAGGTCCCATATGTCAAAGCATGTCAAAAGAATGTATCAAAAAGTGAGCACTTTAATGGCTGTGTGAAGAATAATGATGGGAATTGGAGGCTTAGATTAAAAAATGAGTACTTGCATTTTATATATTCTAAAATGAAAAAGCAAAAACAATGAACCAATACATGCAGGAAATTTAGACTTACCTTTACCTGTGTGCTGTGCTTGCTTTTCTAGCTTTTGCATGGCGAGTATAAATGAAAGTTAACTGTTTAAAAATTAAAGCAACATTATGTAACTTTTCTACCTTAAAATAACAGCTTCACTACCATTTTGATGTTTCACTGAGTTGTAATAAGGTGAATAGTGCCTCTGTCATTCCCACTCTGTGCCCAGTACGGCTGTTCTTGCACTAACTTTATGTTCCAGGTCACAACAAGTACACTTAGCAGTAAGCCACACACTCTGTCACCGATTCTGGTGAAACTGGAGCATATTATAATGGAATAATTGTTTACTGGTTTTCCCTTTGATGTACTCTAGCTGCTCCACCTCAACTTTGTGATTTACAGTTTCCTGATGGGCAGTAAAGTAGCTGCTGCCGAATGTAGCCGAGCTAGTTAACTAAGCCACACTGCCCACCTGGACTGGGGGCTCAAAGCACCGGGGGAATGTTGATGTTTAAACTGGCAGCACCGGAGCTTTCGGCTGCAGGAGGTGGACGTTTTCAGGCCTGGGGCAGGGATAGGAATCGTAACCAGACTTAGCAGCTTCTAGCTAACAGAAGATGCCAAAGAGGAGGAAGTTAAGAAGAGAAAAGGTGAAAGAAACCCCTAGATAAGAGTAAATGTGTGACTTTATTTGTTGGTGAAAGCTTGGTGAAATAAAAGGCTGCAGACAGATGTTCTTGCTGTTGTACTAGTAAGTTATAATAGCTGGCTTGCTCTGTGTGATGTTGTGTTTGGCTGTGTTCCTGGGTGACTTGCTAGTTTTTGATCCTAAGTAGTGTAATCATAACAAATGCACATGTAAAGCTGTTCATATTTCTGTGCTTAAATTGCAAGTACCAAATCTTACACAATGTTGCTTTAAACAACAGGAGCTCAGGAAGGCTACACTGCCACCCCGTGGATTCATGTGCAACTGCTAGATTACACTGAGGGATTTAAGTTTTTTTGTTCTTTCTCAGATAAGTAAAATAATTTTGCTAATTTAAGTATTTTACTAATGGATAATTTTTTTTTGTCATTTACAATGCAAGTTTGCAGAATGAAATTAAGATATTGCTCTCTATGAGCTACTTTTAAAACAAAAATACTGATGATCTTCTGGGGGGTTTTAATCACTGCTATAGTGTCAGAATCAGAAATACTTTAATAACCCCAGGGGAAAATTACTTTTGTTACAAACTCCAGATATACATACAATATATAATAAGAACATATATATAAAGATATATATATATCTATATATATTCATATATAAAAGGTAAAATGTACAGTTTGAAATGTGCAAAAAGTGCAAAAATGATTATCCGTGTTTGAGGTCTATAGTTTGATGACCACAGGCAGGAATGACTTCCTGTGGCACTCTGTGGTGCATCTGGGTGAGAGGAGTCTTCTGCTGAAGGTGCTCCTCTGCTGGGCCAGTGTGTCATAGAGCGGGTGTGTGACATTGTCCAAGATAGAATGAAGCCTGGACAGCATCCTCCTCTCTGCCACGGTTGTCAGAGTGTCCAGCTCCTCCCCCACGACATCACCGGCCCTCTTGATCAGTTTATTTAGTCTGTTGGTGACTGCAACCTACAGCCCACTGCCCCAGCATGTGACAGCAAAGAAAATCGCACTGGCCACAACAGACTCGTAAAACATCCTCAGCATCGTCCGGCAGATGTTAAGGGACCTCGGCCTCCTCAGGAAAAAGAGTCGGCTTTGGCCCTACTTGTAGACCGCCTCTGTGTTTCTGGTCCAGTCCAACTTATTATTAAAGTACACCCCCAGGTACTTATATTCCTCTACAGTGTCCACAGGGACCCCCTGGATGGAAACATCTTGTCCTGGGCCATGGTCATCCTATGCCAGATTGGAATATTTCTAGTCAGGATGCTTTCTATATTGCTAGGGTCTGTTTGTGAGCAAGTCCAATATCCAGTTGCAGAGTGTGGTACTCAGGCCTACACATTCATACAGTGATGGCATGGGCTGCCATGCAAGGTGCCAACTGCTCACCAGAACGGAAACTAATCATTCATACACATTCATACACCGATGCACAGCATCGGGAGCAATTTGGGGTTCAGTGTCTTGCTCAAGGACACTTCAAAATGCAGCCATCCTTCCGATTAGTGGACAACCCGCTCTGCCTCTGAGCCACAGCAATTTTTACTTTAAGGTTTACATCTCTCAACTTATATCTCATATCCACTTTTATCATTTCACCGGCTAAAAGCTTTGTGTACACCTGGTGTGAAGTATACATAAAGGGCACACATTCTATAATAAATACCATTTATGTGTGTGAGAAGACGTACATGGTTTTTGTGTTCACACATCATTTATCAAATCAAATCAAATCAAATCAAGTTTATTTGTATAGCCCTTTACAATAGCCGAAAGGTACCCAAAGTGCTTTACAACAAAGCCATGAAACAATACATAACACATATATAATATACAAATACAATTTAAAGTGCTGTAGTGCTGCAGCACTGCAGGGTATTAAAAGCCTTCCAGAAATGCACAGAAAGGAGCAGATAAAAAGAGTACACCTAAGAGACAGTACTGTCCTAGTCAGAATTAAATGCTAATCTAAAAAAGTGGGTCTTAAGCTGCGATTTAAAAAGGCCGAGATCAGTAGTGGTGCGAATGTCAGGAGGCAGTTTGTTCCACAGTCTAGGAGCAGCGGCGGCAAAAGAACGATTGCCCCACTGTTTAAGTCTGGACCTAGGGACCTCTAACAGAAGCTGACCCGAAGAGCGCAAAGCTCTGCCACAATTGCGAAAAGTTAAAATCTCTGACAAGTAAGAGGGGGCCAAGCCATTAATGGTGTTAAAAACAAACAACAAAAGTTTAAAATCAATTCTAAAACGGACTGGAAGCCAGTGGAGTGACGACAGCACAGGAGTAATGTGTTCGCGTCTGGACATGCTAGTTAAAAATCGGGCAGCAGCGTTCTGCACAAGTTGGAGACGATAAATTGAGGACTGACTGAGGCCGACGTAAAGGGCATTACAGTAGTCCAGTCTTGAGCTGATGAAAGCATGGATTGCCTTCTCAAGATCCTGCCGACTGAGAAAAGACTTCACTTTGGCCAAAAGACGGAGCTGAAAAAAGCTCGTACTGACAACAGAGCTAATCTGTTTGTCAAATTTGAGCCCAGTATCAAATGTTACCCCAAGATTTTTGACATGTGATCTTTGGTCAGCCCATCGCCTACCACTTTCCCACACTAACTTGGCACCTGTACAGTATTTTTTACCTATGCTAATATAACTTGGAGTGGACAATCACTATTACTACAGCATTTTTTATCATAAATGTCATATACAGCTGGGAAAGGAAAAGGAAAGTAATTAGGAAATGTGTATATTGTACTGTTGTTGATTTAAAAAAACAACTAAAAATTAAACAAAAGTGGAATCAATTGTTTCATTAGACAATACGGTTCATGAGGAAAGAAGCCGGCTTCCATTTTAGCAAATAGTAAATAGTATCTTCCTCTTAGACTGGGTGTAACCCATACCCATGAACCATAAAGTAAAGCAGCTGATCCATGGTTATTTTCTTTATACTATCAATTTATAACATAATCACATAATCCATGTTTACATAAATTATAGATGCCTTCAGCCTTTCTGTGGAAAGGACAATGTGAAAGGAGTATTTTTCTAGCATTTGACTAAAATAACCTCACTATTAGACTGTGTAAATATTCATATTTATATGTTAATGCTACTTAGTATAGCCAACATCTCTGTGGACAATGTACGGATTATATGGTGAACTCCCACTCCACCTGCCTCTCCTGTGGGAAGCCAACATCAGTGGCAGCACTAAAACAAGGTTAAAATAGGAATAAGCAATTTTCAACATTCTTTAACTGATGTTCTATTAAGTGTGAACTAATCACAAAAGTCATAGTAACCTAATCATTTGTTAAAAGTAAGCAACAGGAATTCATTATATATTCTGCATTAATGAATGCATTAAATGATCACAAGTCCTGCATTCGTTCAGCATTAAGTAGGCTATATGATTTATTATATCATGTTATCCATTATTCTTTTATATACGAATTATGTTACTGTGCAGTAAATACCTAACTGGCAGCCTGTTAGGAGATGCCTTGTGTGATGTCAGTTTATTATCTTTGTAATTGTTAGCCAGTATTAAAATGACACTGGTATGTATTAGTCCTCCAGTATCGTTTATGTTAACCTAGGCTACTGTTCTGTCCTCATAAACGCTGCTTTATGTTAAACTGTCGGATGCTCTCGGTTCTCTCTCGTGTCTCATCGGTATTCCTGGGCAATCCGCGGCGCGCACCCCCAGCCTATCAGCAGCAGCTGCACGCGCATCTCAGGAAAGAGGACAGGATATCTGCAGAGCCCGAGCTTCCTAGCGAACCTGGAACGACGACATGAGCTCGTATCTTGTGTGATGGAGATTATATTTTGGTAGGAACCGCTACCGTAGGCTGCTGTGGCGTCGTTATGAGGAGCCAGAAAACGACCATGAAGCTGCTGCTTGTGGTGATACTTATATGGCGCGAGGCGTTGTGCGGATCTCCGAGCGTCCAGATCGGTAGGATTTTAATTTCTGTCATCGCCCCACCGTTCTCATCTTTCATCGGTCTGTTCGCCTTTCTCCATCTTATCGTTCCCCGTGTCCTTCTTTTTTTAAAGTAGGCCTCTCTCCTCTCTCCTCCTAGTGCCGCTCTCAATGTAAGGCCCTCCTGGCTGTAGGGCAGCTGCTGCAGTGTTCTAATAATGTCAACATTTTCATGTTTTATATTCGTCTATGTGCTCTATGCGCGTGCTTATCACTAGAGTGCTGTGGATGGTGTGTGTGTGTGTGTGTGTGTGTGTGTGTGTGTGTGTGTGTGTGTGTGTGTGTGTGTCGCGCGCGCGCGTTAACACGTGTGTACACGGGTGTTTGTCCTAGATGTTGACTGGCATTCAGCTAAAGGCAAGTAAATCCAAGATAATTCAAATCCAGCCCTTGAGACGCATTTCCTGAGCTCCATTCCTTGTTGGAACTGCATATTTATATCGCTCTTTTCTATGATTAAAGGATATGTTGAATTTCCCTTCACATGCCATTACATTCAAATATAGGTCACCACTATATTCAGACATACAATTACTAATTGTCTTTTCTATTGTAAGATATCACGTTTAGTTGTCTATCAAAATGGTTTCATAGTAGTCTGCCTAGGTACCTTTTCATACATTGCAGGGGTTGGCAAATTTGTCATTTAAAGGATTTCTCATGAAAACAATAAAGTGACTTTGGTCTATTCTATGTACCTGCACTATGGCAGTGGTTCTCAACCTTTTTCAATTGAGTAAATTGAACACTCCTCACTAAAGGACATATTTGATGGATATTTCATTAATTCAATCGCATTTTTAAGTTTACCTACATCCCTTAAAATCAAGAAGGCCCCTCCTTGAAGTTTTGACAACCTCTAGTGGGGATCTCGGGATCCCCACTAGAGGTTGTCAAAACTTCCCCAAAGTTGGGGAAAACTGCACTATGGTGCCTTTAGCTAAATGCTAACTAAATAAAATTTGGCTGATTAAGCTGTTTTCTTCTGTACCAGAGCTGTCTATTGAAATAGTTGCTCTCTGGTGCCGACATTACAGGCATAATCTTACCTGTGTCATCACTAGTTGAAATTATACTTGCACAGTGGATCAGCAGTTACACTGATGAGTTTGGGGCAGTTTGCATGTTGTCCCCATGTTTACACCACAGCTGCGGCTGTCCGTGCAGCTGCAAGACCGTATGGCACAACCCATACACTGCCATGGCTGTAAAAACAAACAGGACATTTTGTATCATGGAATAATTGCTTTAAGCATAGTGTACATGACAGCATATTTGTGTTTTGGTTGGCTGTTCTGGGGGTATGTAGGTAGCACTACAAGCCCTTTACTTTTAAAAGGATCCTGTCTTGAACCAAGTAAGTCTTTTTTGAGCGAGTAACCCTCCCCGTCTATCCCGTCCCTCAACTTTTCAGCTTGTACATTTGACCTATTGATAAATATTTCAATACTTGTAATAACAGGCTCAGAGGTAGAGTGGGTTGTTCACTAATCGGAATCTTGGCGGTTTGATCCCCGGCTCCTCTCGCTGCATGTCGAAGTGTCCTTGAGCAAGACACTGAACCCCAAATTGCTCCTGATGCTGTGTATCGGTGTATGAGTTGTGTGTGTATGATTAGTTTGTGCGGCGGTTGTGGTGCAGAGGCAGAGCGGGTTGTCCCCTAATGGGAAGGTTGTTGGTTCGATTCCCGGCTCCTCCTGCCACATGTTGAAGTATCCTTGCGCCGCAAATTGCTCCTGATCCTGTGCATCAGTGCGTGAATGTGTTTGAATGCATTAGTTTCTGTTCGATGGGCTTAGCCATCACTGAGTGAATGTGGGTTCAAGGGTGAATGTGGCACGTAGTGTAAAAGCGCTTTGAGTGGTCGGAAGACTAGAAAGGCGCTATACAAGTACAGTCCGTCTACCGTTTACACTTTCTTCTCATAATCCCCCAGGCTTCTTCTGGCAGTTCTGTGTACTCCAGATAATGATACATTTCACTTACCATGGAGAGATACAGTAGACAAAATGGTCACTGATGTTGTTTTCTGCCATGTGCAAATACAAGATCAATAGATATAATAGATACATTGGTTGGTAGGTAGTTAGGTAGGTAGATCTGCCATTCATTTTTTACACATTGGTATTTAGCGTAAACTAATTAGGTTGTCACTCTGTCATGTGAGCACACCTTACCGTTATTTTTTACAGTGTAAAATTAGTAAGCCAAATTGGTTAAATTGGCAAATTATGGATGGATTTGTTTTCCAACATCCTGGTTCGATAGATTTTTGATAACAACTTTTTGGAATATCAACTGGCAGATTGTGCTGCTTTAAAAACGTTGATGATCAATTTGGATACTGTGCTGACTTTGTCGAATTTTGTGTACCGTTAACTTCAAATGTGCAGTGGTTTAACACGTTATGGGTTAACACTTTCATATCGCGCATAAAGTACTGTCTGCCAAGAAAAATATGGCTACTTTTCATTTTCAACTCGCTATAAATTCTATGTGTTGGTAAAATATGACAACAGAGTTGAGATCCTGTCTACATCTGCCACAGCTTATAGACACACACATTTTTCATTCATATGAGATGTATGCTCTGTGAGCTTTGGATAAATTAATGCACATGTACAGTTTAATTTAGTCCAAGAATTTTGCAAAATTACATTTACTGCATATTGCATATAGTGTATATATTTTTAATTTATAGTCTTATATTTTCTATTATATTTTGTCATATTCTTATTTAGCAAATTTCAATTTGCATTTGATTTTTAATATTGATATTTTTTTAGGAAAGCTGCTGTGAAATTAAAAACTAAAACTAAATTTGGATGAAATGGTGGATGGAGAGGGCAACACGTACTCTAAACTTTACAGAGAGGGCTGTAGGAGAGTGGACTGAGGTGTGGCTCAGAGCTAGAGTAGGTCGTCCACTCATCAGAAGGTTGTTCAATCCCCGGCTCCTCCCGACGCATGGTAAAATATCCTTAAGCAAGATACTGTGTAGCATGTAGTGTAAAAGCGCTTTAAGTGGTCAGAAGACTAGAAAGGCGCCATACAAGTGCAGTCCATTGTAGCCAAACCTCAGATCATATCTGAGGTAGGGCTCAATATAGCCTGAAGTGGATTATAAAATGACAGCTACTCTCTTAGAGGTGTGGTTGATTGCAAATGTTTTCAATGATAGAAGCTCAGCGAGCATATTAAGACTTGTCAGTCACAGAAGCTAATAAATCTGCCTCGCTGCGAGCTGCCATACTTGCCTTATATGGCCTCATCCTCCCTGCTCAGGGCCAAGAAGTATGTGTGTGTGGAAATATGACCTCATTCTGCCAGCTCCACAACAAGTGTTGCAGCTGAGCTGAGGTAGAATTTTTTTAATTGATATTGATTTTCTCTCCCTACAATGCACATTTTGATAATGACAAAAAAACAGAATTTTCCCCCTGTGGACAAATGCTGGCTCTCACTGATCAGAATCAGACAGTATTCACTATAAATAGAAAAAAATAAAAGTACCAAAACTAGAAGAATAATGCTTTCAGATTAAGCATTTGAAAAAAAGAAATTAAGGGGTCAGGTGTAATGCCAAATGAGTGGCAGTGAAGGCCAGGGGCCTCGACAGACCAGACCCTAGCAGCAGAAGCTGGCTTTGGAGACGTGGAATGTCACTTCACTGGGGGGGAAGGAGCCGGAACTTGTGCAGTAGAGCGCTACTGATTAGATTGGTTGGGGCTTACGTCCACGCACAGTCGAAGCTCTGGATCCTTACTCCTGGATAGGGGTTGGACCCTATTCTTCTCTGGAGTTGCCCAAGGTGTGAGGCATCGGGCTGGTGTGCGGATACTCACAAGTCCCCGGCTGAGCACCGCTATGTTGGAGCTCACCCCGGTGGACGCCTACAGGCTTTGGGGGGGGACGTCCGACTGGAGAAGGAGGCCCTTCGGGATATGTTATATCGGAGGACTCCGGAGGCAGCTGCAGGGTATCGACAGGCCCGAAGGACTGCAGCCTCAGCTGTGAGGGAAGCAAAACAGTGTGTGTGGGAGGAGTTCAGAGAAGTCATGGAGAAGGACTTTCAGACGACACCCAGGCGCTTCTGGGTTCCGTCCTGGTCGTGGAACAACGGACCAACTCTTCACTCTTTCAAGTGTCCTGAAAGGGGCCTGGGAATATGTTCATCTGGTCTACATGTGTTTGTGTATTTGGAGAAGCTGTATGACCAGATTCCCCAGAATATTTCCTCGGGAGGTGCTGCGGGAGTATGGGGTGAGGGGGTTACTTCTCAGGGCCATCCAATCACTGCTTTACACTGTGCTGAGTGTAAAGCAGCTGGTATGAGGATCAGAACCTCTAAATCGGAGGCCATGGTTCTCAGCAGGAAACTGATGGATTGTCTACTCCAGGTAGGGAATGAGTCCTTACCCCAAGAGTTCAAGTACCTCTGGGTTTTGTTCACGAGTGAGGGTAGAATGGAGCGGGAGATCGGAGTCGCTATTACAGTCACTTTATAGCACTGTTGTCACAAAAAGAGAGTTGAGCTGAAAGGCGAAGCTCTCAATCTACCGGTAGATCTTTGTTTATACCCTCACCTATGGTCATGAGCCATGGGTCATGACTGATAGAATGAGATCGCGGGTACAAGCGGCCGAAATGGGTCTGGGTGGCCGGCGTAGATTTTATTAAAAAAGGTTAACATCAAAGTGTAACTGAGGGATTCAGACTATTATGTACTACCATAGCTGTTGACAGAACTTGATTACAACGTACAGGGGGGCTGGAAAATTATGTGCACAGTCAATGACACATCAGTCAGTTGATCTTTTTAAATAACAAAACAGATAATTCTTGCTAAATTATCAAAATAGTACAAAGTAGAACCAGAAAGACTGGACTTTTGGCTGGCCACATTTCTTTTTAAATGTCGCCCACATCAGATTCTAGTGTGAACTAGTTATGGTCCTGAAGTGACCTGCATGACAAATGTCAGTCTAGAGCAGGGGTGGGCAAACGTTTTGACTTGTGGGCTACACTGAGTTTTAAAATTTGACAGGGGGGCCAGGCAAGGAGCAGATGGATGGAGTGTTCATGTGAACTAATGTATATGACATGTACAAGCCATTATATAAAAGGATTGGCCTTTAAGAGGCAGCAAAGCATGAATATTTACAAATTATTTTACAAATGCATGTATTCATAACAGTAGAGAAAACTCACGTTCAATTTCAGTGGGAACAGTGTTGTTGCTCTCCCTTTTTTGCCAGAGCATCAATGTCTGGGGTTAATTTTGTTGTGGCAATTCTCAGGATGGATCTGAGATGCTGGTCAGTTAACTTGGATCTGTGACGGGTTTTGTTGATGTTCATGACACTGAAAGTCTGCTCACACAAGTAGGTTGAGCCAAACAACACCAGCATCTTCTGTGAGGTTTGGAAAACGTGGCTTCGTTCAGTGAAGCATAAAAGTCATTCAGTTTATGAGTTAAACTTCTCCTTTGAGATGGAGTCAGACTGAAGATCGATCAGTTCCAATTGCAGGTCAGGTGGTGCTGTTTCGGGGTCGTGTGACAGGGGACAGGGACATGGGACCAGCTGAAGTGACTTGTCAATTTTTTCAAAATCAGAGAACCGACTGCAGAATTCTCTGTGCAGGTCATCCAGTGATTTGCTGTATTTCTCCGCATTTCAGTTGGCCTCTTTCTGCGTGGCTAGTGTGGGGAAATGAGCGAAAGATTTGTTTAAAGCTTGTCTGGAGAATAAAGTCAGCTTGGATTTAAAACATTTGTGTACATGTCTTGCACAAAGTGATCTTTGCCCTGTAGCTTCACGTTCAGCTCATTCATGTGGGAAAATATGTCCATAGCAAACGCAAAGTCACGAAGCCAGTTCGTCGGATTTCCCCTCTGAATTGATGAATGAATCTGCGAATCTCCTCTTTGAGCTCCCACACTCTCAGAAACACTTTTGCCCAAACTTAACCAGCGGACACAAGAGTGGTAAAGTAAGTCCTGGTGATCCGCATCGGTTTCCTCCAGGAACGCAATGAACTGACGGTGCTGGAGGCCCCTTGCCCGTATACAGTTCACAAGTTTTACCACTGGATTCACCACATGATTAAGCTGCAATACAGACTTACACAGAGATTCCTGATGAATGATGCAGTGATGGAAAATAACATCCTGGTCAGGGTTTTCCTCTTTCACTTTATCCTGGATTCTTTTCAGCAGCCCAACGTTTTTTCCAGTTAAATTTGGCGATCCATCCGTGCTTGCTAGCATAGTTAGCATGCTTCGTTGCAAATTGACGGCTGATGTTGTATTCTTTAAAAACTGAAATAGTTTCCTGGCATATCAGACATACAGCCGTTGATCGGACATCAGTGAAAAAATATTTTACTGTCCACTCCTTATTAAAAACTCGGCACTCAATATCCACTTTTCCTTTCTTTGGTCCGCTCATTTGTACACAAAGGCTCAATATGCAATGTAGAAAAGGTAAAGTTGAGAGTCATGCTGCATTCAAGTGCGTTGGAAACATCAGATAAACAAGTCCCGAGTTGATCTGGGAAAGATGTCATATTCGTCATCTAAATGGCAGCAAACTATCTTTTGTGATTCAAAAAACGTTGCCTGTCAACATTTTTAATAGCAACGTCCACATAAGTGATCTAGACGTGTTAGAAAAGTGATTTATCCACAATGGCTTGGGATTCAACCCTAAATAAAGAGCCAAATCGCCAATCAAAATGACTGAATGTTTATTTAGGATAATCCAAGGAGCACCTGAATGCAGCATAAAACACCACACTCCAACAAGGGTCATTGGGCGCCAAATGGGGAAACGTGGTAATTGCAGGGACGTCAAAATGAATGCGATTTTAATAATACAGTTTGAACAAGTCGGGCGGGCCGGATTAAAAAGCTTAACGGGCCGTATGTGGCCCGCGGGCCGTAGTTTGCCCATGCCTGGTCTAAAGTGACTTAAAAGTCACATGAATTCTTATATAACTGTTCACACTGAGATCACATCGCAAAAAAATCTGACCTGTATCTGATTTGGACCACATATGTGTGTGCAAAGCAAAATTGTGATTTTTGCTGATTTTTGCTGTCCACACTGTCATGAAAAAAAAGAATCACATATGAGCTGTTTGAAAACTATGTTTATATAATATTCTATAAATATAATTTTGCTGTTTCTTCTTCTTGTTTTCCTGTTTTCTTATCTGTCTGACCATGATTCTGTCTGTATGTGTCTTTCTCAGGTGGTTTATTCCCTCGGGGTGCAGATCAGGAGTATAGTGCATTCAGAGTTGGTATGGTTCAGTTTGGGATGGCAGATTTCAGACTAACTCCACACATAGATAACCTGGAGGTGGCGAACAGCTTTGCTGTCACTAACTGCTGTAAGTATTCTCTCTTTTTCTCATCTTGCTCCGAACATATTTTGACTGCAGATGGTATATCTGGTGCAGTTATTGTAACAGATAATAAGTGTATGCTTAATGCTTTTGAGACATTACACATTTTATTTGTACAGAGCCCGACCAATGGACTGGATATTTGAGGCAATATAGTTCCCATGTGTCCTGGAAAACCTGGAAATTTTGAGACTAGTTTTCCAGTTATGGAAACACCTTGAAATTGATTTAAATGACCTAATATCCAGTATATAATCTATGTTGTCCGGGGAAATTTTGTATTGTATTTTAGCCTCTCACTCAGATCTACGCCTTTGTATTTTATTTAAAACTTGACAGTTGGATAAGCTACGTAGTATGAGTGGGTTTAGCAGACGTGAAACAAAATTCCTAAGCATCAATCTTTTTTACAAGTATGTTTTTTTCAAGAGCTGCAAGCAGAACTGCTACTAATGGACTCAGGCCAAATTAATGTCACAGAAGAAAACTGTAGTAAAATGTAGTTCATTCGATGAAAAATCGGTTGTGGTGGGAACAGCTAAATGTGTCAGAAAAAAGAAAAAGTCTCCTCAAAAAATGTCTTGATTTCTTAAAAGGAGTGGGAACCCTGTTAATATTCTGACTTTCTTACCCCATCTGTGGCTCTTAGCCTCATTTGACTCCTCTTACGCACAAAATGGACTAATTATGTGCCGCCTATTAAGAGATGGATTCTGACAGAAAATTTCAAATTGATTCAGTGCAGTCTCTATGCTTGCCATTCACTTCTAACGTTACAACTGCACATTATAGAGTTCTTCAAATTTAAACTTAAAACAGCCTATTTAAATAATACTCTGACACTGTGCCACTCCTAATGAAGGATACTTGGTGAAATTAGCTTTATTGATCTAATACTCTCCGTGATAAATGTCAATAGACAAATAATTTTTTCCCTAATAGTTGCAAAAAGAAGCAGTAAAAATGTAGTATTATACAAACTGTGTTTAGGAGATAGGGTTGAAAAAACCCAATGCATACAGTTGCTTACATACAACTCAACAAGTTTGCATATATAATGTATTCCTCAGCTGAGGATCAATATCTTATAGATATATTGTCAGGATAATAGAAAGGGCTGTGATTTCTACAGCAGTTTTTATGCATTTTCATTCCATGTGAAATTGAGAATTTGAGTGACTTAGAGATTCAACATCCACATTGGCAAAACATGCAGATTTGCCAAGCTCCTCTCTTTCTCATTAGTAAAGAGTAGTGTACAAAACAATGAGGTAGCATTTTCAGTGGGTGCTGACTGTTGCTTGCACCATGTAAACTAATAAGACTAAATGATAGGCCAAAATTAATGTTTTCTGTTCTGTTTGGGTTTGTATGTTTGTACTTGACCAAAGATCATTAGTGAGGGAAGAAGCTACACTATGTTACATCACTGTACAATCAATTGGAATGGACTGCATGTTTGTACATCTTGCAGTGAAGTAAGCTGGCTTTGTGTTGTAGCTGCTTGCACTAAATAACTTGATTGGCGATGCCTAACCAGGATTCTTAAGGAAAAGGCAGGTCCTCATGTCATGCTTGTAATCAGTGCATCATCAGGGCCTAGGCTGTAAGATTCCAGTCACAGGAAGTGACTGTCATTAAAGAAGTTTGTGTTAAATCGCACAAAATGAACAAATTCATTTGTAAAGGCCCAGTGGAGCCAAAAGAATAGCTCTCTTTAAGCAACTATTTTGTTTTTAATGTTGAGTGTGAATTATAATTAGGAATTTTCAATAGATAGATGTATCTAATAAAAAACTGAGTGTGATTATGTCAGCCTCTCATCGACTTTAAACTAGGAGAGATTCACATGCATGTTAGACCTTAGTGTGCATAGAAGGGCATGACGACCTGCTATGTTCTGAGCCAGTTGCAGTTTTCCTAAATCTTTCTTTGAAGCACCGGACCATTATCAACGGGTCTTTTCTAGTCTAGTCTTGAGATCTGTTGGACCTCTGCTGATAGATAGATAGATATATAGATAGATAGATAGACTTTATTAATCCCCAGAGGGAAATTGGGTCGTAATAGCAACCAGGTACATTAAAATAGAATAAAATACAATAGAATAAAATACAACAATAGAATAAAATACTTAGATAGAAAAGATAAAAAAAGATAAATAGGTAGGTAAGGTGCAAAGATTTGTAGTTGCAAGATGGTGGTAATTGTACTGATGACATGATGGTAGTGTTATTGTTAAAGGACAATTCCGGCGCAAAATGAAGCTGGGGTTAATAACACGTGTATCAAGTTGGTCCGTTCTCTGGGGTATGTTTTCATGCTAATCGACCGTGACCGGTTTTAGCACAAACTGCTAATTAGCTTATAATGCTAGTCAACGGGGCACAGAGTAAAGTGAAAAGAAATCGGTTTTTATACCAACAGAGTCTCTTGGCTATGATACTGAAAAAGATTTTGCTCTCCACACTGAGCAAGGAGATGACACAAAACTGGTCGATGCTCTCAGACTTTTCATCTTTCAGTATGTACACTCCCTCCGCATACCTCAATGACTGGACGATCTTTCCTCTCCTCCAGATCACCTTCAGGTCCCTCCAAAGCCGGTGTAATAGCTTTGGGCAGTTTTTATACACCTTATAAGGCACTCCACTTGGGCCCGGTGCCGAGCCTGATCTTGCTCTCCACACCACTTCCTCCACTTCACTAAGGCCGGGCTCCTTCAGGTTGAAGTCCGATATAAGCTCTGGTGGCATTGTCAGTGCATCGCATGGGCCCAGTGGCTGTTCTCTGGTAGGGTCACTGTACGTGGCCTTGAGGCCACTCGTCTCGCAGGTTCTTATCGATCCTGGTGGAGCCTCCTGCCATGGTCCTGCTAGATTGCCATTGCCAATACTGTTGTTACTGTGCGTCTGTCTGTCTGTCTGTCTGTCTGTCTGTCTCTCTCTCTCTCTCTACCCCAACTGGTCGAGACAGACGACCACCTACCTAGAGCCGAAGGATCAGTCCTAGATTTCTGCCTTTAACAGGCAGTTTTTCCTTGCCCTTGTCACCAAGTGCTTGCTCATGGTGGTACTGTTGGGTCTCTGTAAATAATGTTATAAAGAGTTTGGTCTAGACCTGCTCTATTTGAAAAGTGTCTTGAGATAACTTCTGTTATGAATTTGCGCTATACAAATAAAATTGAATTGAATTGAATTGAATTGAGGTGGTTGTTAATAACATCCTTGGAGCAGGTAAGGTGGCCAGTCCTCTTTTGACCAAGGAGCTAGTTGGTCAACTTTAAGGGATTGGCCAGGAAAGCTGTTCTCTAGGGATGTAACGATGCATCGCGGCACGATTAAAAATCGGTACAAATGCGTGACGATTCGCACCGGTTGACAGAAAAAATAAATTGCGGATGCGAGAGAAGTAGGATATGTTCTTTTTTTTTTTTTAGAAATAGGTTACGTTATCTTAAAAGTCACTGGTTGGTGATTAATTTGTCAACGTCAGACATCAAGTCACGTGACTTACGTCACTGCATAGGTACGGGGCACAGAACGAGGGAAGATATGGCGACGGTAGGCAACAACTTTGAAATAGAGGATGCACCGAGCGGTTTTAAATCACCTGTGTGGCGGCATTTTGGATTCCCCATATACACAAATACATCCGGTGAGAAATGGACAGACAAAACCAAAACAGCATGTAAATATTGCAAGAGACTGCTAACATATACCGGCAACACGAGCAACATGCAGCAGCACATTAGCCGCCACCACAGTGAGAAGCAAAGTAACGTTACGCCACCTCCTGAGCGAAAATTGCCGAGGGGGCAAACCACCCTGACGAGAGACTTTGCATCTCATAAAAAAAAGTGCAACTGAAGTAGTTATTCACTTAAATAATAAAGAATAACTGGATTTTTTTTTAGAAGACACAAAAACAGTGTTTAACAGTGTTTATGCAAAGAAAGGACCTCTTTTTTTGGTCAAGATTTTATATTCTTTTGTTATTTAAGATATTGAATTACACCAGTTAACACCAGTTTACTTACTTAGTAGATTGTTTCTAAAAAAAAAGGATATTTTTCATGTATTTTGTTGTTTAAGATGACCATGTAAGTTGCACAAACTGTTTTACAGAGTTTCTGTAAAGAAAGCACCTCTAAGATTTTTTTCCTACGAATAAAAGATAATTTTAATTGGTCATAATTTGTCTGTAGCTCATTTTGATAAAAATACAAAAATCGTGAGCAAATCGTATCGTGAACAAAAAATCTTGAACTGTATCGAATCGTTAGTTGAGTGTATCGTTACAAACCTACTATTCTCTTCCTGGCTCTCTCTTTCCGCATCCTTCCAGTGGAATTCTGCTCTCTGCAGGGTCAAGAGTTGTTTCCTTAGGATTGCTCTCAGGTCCGCTAGGCCAAGTCTCTCAATTTCCCCTGCTGTCTTGTACTGCCTTTTTAGCAGCTTGAGTTCTTCCCTGAGGCTCTGGATCTTTCTTTCTCTATGGCTTGGGGCATAGGCCGATGGCGTGGGCTTGGGTGCCTCGGTTCCAAATCGCTCAGCCGCGATGTTCACTATGAAGGTGGTCATCGTTTTCAGCCGACGGCCCACATCCCCCTTGGCTGTCACTTCCAGGACCTGATCTATATCCTCATCGAACTGCTGCCACTCAGATCTCTTCAAGGATTGGGGCCACTGGATCCTTGGATGGGCCGAAGGTGCACAACCAGTTGTTATGGTTGGAGCTTGCTGGCTTTGGAGGCTCTGTGGGTTGTTGGGAGGTGCTGCTGACTCTTGGGGGCTTAGGGTGGCATGTGAGCTGTTGGCAGCGGGTGTTGGCGGCACTAGGAGGCTCTGGGCACTGTGGGTTGCCTCCGGGCCTGGCTCCTCCACCAATATTTCATTCTGCCTTGATGGATTTTTAAACCCCTCTGATTCTTGCAGGTTTTTCCACAGATGCACTGTACTGTCGTCGTCATTATTCCGTTGTCC